GGAACGGAGGTTAATTTTTTTTTTAATTTATTCGAAATATTCGAAAAAATATAAAATAATTCGTTTTCGTCCAAATTTTCGTTATAGGGTAAATTTCCCCGTTTTTTAGATTTCTAATTTATAATAAAATTCGGCTTATTCGAATTATTATTCGAATTATTCGAATTATTCGAATTATTCGAATTGTTCGAATTATTGGATTTTTTTTATTTATTCGATTTATTCGAATTTTTTTTATTTCCGCTTTAAGTTCCCTGTTGATTTTAATTGGATTAGGGAAACCGGGATTTTTTATTATCCGTATAATAAGAATTTTTTATAGCCGTATTAAGGTTCCGTTAGTTTTTATTTAATATATCCGTAATTAACCCTTTAAAAATAAATAGATTTAAAGACCGTAAAGCATTATATTAACGGTTAGCCTATATAAGGTAAATTAATTAAAAGGTTATAATAAAAATCGTTTTTTAATCGATATTATCGATTTTTGCCCTAACGCTTAAAAGCTTTAAAATACATTTTTTAAAAATAAACTTAAATTTATTTAACGAATTATAATTTTCGAATTTAATTATATAAAATTTAAAATATAGTTATTAACGTAATACGGGACCGGTACCTTAATAGGCTAATTATAAAATAAATAAAGCCTTATATAAATTTATTTTATTAAATATTAAATTTAACGGTTTTATTATTAAATTTTAACAAATTAAAAGCAATACCTAGGCTTTTTAAATATCGGTTATACCGTTATATATATCGGTAATTTTAAAAAACCAATCGATTTCTAGCAATTTAAGATATAATTATAACGTAGATTTTTACGTATTTTAGTTTCCGGATCCGGAAAGTTTTTGTTTTTCCGGCATTTAGTATTTAATAATAATACGGATAAAGTTATTTATTTTGCCGAATTTTTTACCGTTATAACGGTATAATTATCGTTAAAAACGGTAAAGGAATCGTTAAAAAATAAAAATAAAAAAAATAATTTTTTTATTTTATCGATAAAATATATAAAAGGGATTTAAGTGCTATAATATAATATAATAAATGTTATAGGGTATTATAGCAAATCGGTTATTATAATAGGAATTAATTATAAATAACTTTATAGCCGTTATATAGTTATAACAGGTAAAATTATTATAATTAGCTATTTAATTATAATTTTCGATATAATTACGGTTTATATAGGCTTATATATAGGCCTATAAAAATCGGCTATTATAACGGAATTTTAAAGTTTATATTAAATTAATTCGTTTAAAAAAGCGGCTATAGTTTTCGATATAATTACGGCTATATAAGCTTAAAATAAAGCTTATAAAATCGGCTATTATAACGGAATTCCGGAATTTACGTTATATTAATTCGTCCGGGAAAGCGGCTATAGTTTTCGATATAATTTAAATCCGGTATTTAAATATAATCGATATTATACCGGACCGGGCTTATAACCTATTTTAAGGTATAATTAATAAATTATAAATTTAGGTATAAAAAAGCGTTTGTATAATTCGTAAAATTAGGCCGTAAAAATAATTATAAGGCTATATAACTAATTTATTAAAGTTTAAGGAAAAAATAACTAATTACGGAAAAATAATTATTTTTTATACCTATAAAATTAATTAATAAAAATATTTTAAAATATATTATTAATAAATTAAATTTATAATTAAATTAATTAATAATAAAGTTAATTTATAATCGAAAAAATTATCGAAATTTATAAATTTCTATAATATAGGTTACCTTATAACTTAAGGCTATTATAGCCAGGTATATTAATTATATTTAATAGGGCTAGATTTAATAGAATATTTTATTAGATTTTAATAGGTTTTAATAGCTATAATAGCTATAATAATTAATTATAATAACTTATTAATTATATAGCATTATAAATAATAGCTATAAATAGTATTATATTAACTATAAGTTAGTATAAGGTAAATTTTACTGATTTCCTATATATCGTTATTTAACGATATTTCGATAGGTTTTATAACTATTATAATAATATAATATACGTTATAAAGCTAATTTTATGCATTATACGATGCTGTATTAACATCCGTGTAACACTAATTTAATTATTATTTTTTTTATTATTTATAATATTTTTAAAATAACGCAATCGCATTATTTATAAAATCGATTTCGTAATTTTAATAAATTTAATATTTTTTTATTATTTATTTTTTATCGCTATTTTTTTTTTGCGCAAAAGTTTTTTTATTTTTAATATAATAGCTCCCAATATTAAAATTTTATATATTTTTTAATTATTTTTATCGTAATAGCATAATAGCCGATAATATTTTTAGTTAGATTTTTTTTAAAAAAGGAATAATTCGTAATAGCCGTCGTATTAGCTATATTATTCCTAACCCCGCAAGCCGTCCCTCGAATATTCCTTTTACCCGTAAAAGCGAAATAAATTTTTTGCAAATTTTCTATTATTTCTCTTAAAGTCCTTTTTTAACCGCGTTTTATTATAAAACTCGTTTTTTAAAAATTGCGGACGCGGTAAAAATTTTACTTTTAATATATTTACTACCGATAAATCCGCCTTTTAGGATATAAATACTCTTATAAACAATAATAAATTCGACGATACTCTTATTACAAAATAACGCTAAAGTAATAAAAAAGCCTAAAATAACCGTAAAATCGAAAAAATATATCCTAAAATTAATTTCGCTATAACCCGCGCCAACTTTAAAAAAATGCTTAATTTTAATATATTTAACTATATTAATTATAAATATAAAATATATAATATTACTAATAAATAAAAGCTTATTACTTTAAAAAATATAGCCGAATAGGAATTACGCAAATATTTTATCGCTTTTAAATCTAATAAATTAGTTTTTATAGCTATTAAAATAGCTATTTTAAAGCTTAATATATTTTCGTCTATTTTTTCCTTATTGCGTAAACATTTGTTCACCCGTTAAACCGATTAAAAATTCGATTTTATTATAAATCGGCTTTATATAAAACTTTTATTTCGTATATATTAAAAATTCGCTAATATAACTATAGGTATATATTTTAAAATTATTAAATTAAATCGGTAATTAGCTCGCTTATAATATTATTATTATAAAAGGATTTAATATCGTTAAAGCTATTATTAATTTTTATTTTAATATTAATTTTTACCGTTTTTTATACGGTAAATCTAATTATAAAATCCTAAAATTAAAAAAAGTTTTTAAAAAGCAAAATTAATAAAAGCTCGCTTTTTAATACCTGCGATAAGAATATATTAACTTTTTTTATAATTTATTTCCGGTTATTAAAAAAAAAAGATAAATGCTAATATAAATCTTTTAAAATTTATTTTTCGTTTTTTTTAAATTAACAATAATTTATTAATATTTATTTTATTTTAATTTAGCGTTAATAAAACAGCTTTTCCCTAAATTTTATATTTGCCTAAAAAAATTATATTTATTTTAAATATTAAGGGTCGCAAAAATTTTAATATTTTTATCGATTTTATAATTGCATTCGATTTTTTTAAAACTATCGAATTAAATTAGTTTTTTAGGTGAAATATAGTAATTTTATAAAAAAAAACGTAACTTATAAAGCTAGCGGATTGGCTTTTAAACGCTTAATATTTAAAATCGCTGCTTTTAATATATGTATTTTAATATTTTTTTTAAAATTAATAGCCCTTATATTAATAAATTCGGTAATAATTAAAGTATTTTTTTTAAAAGCATTTTTTAGGGCTTTAGTTTCGGTAGTCGTAATTCGGGCAGAATTTTTCGCTTTAGCGGTCGCTTATTTAAAAAATTAAGCTTTAATAATCCTTTATTTAACCGTAAACGTTTGCGATTTAATAATATTAATCCGGATTTGCTTATTAAAAATTAGCGTAAAATTAATAAAAAATAACGCCGAATTGCAAAAAAGCAGTATTTCGCTAAAAAAAACGAGATCGTATAATTAAAAAAAAGCTATAAGCTAAAATATAGCGTAAAACCGAAAAAATGCAAAAGCCCGCTAGTTAAAGCGAAAAGCGTAATAAAGGTATTTTAAGTATTATTAAACGTCGTTTTAGCCGCCGTAATAACGGTAATAATAATAATTAAAGCAGCTTTATTATTATTCGCAAATTTAACCGACGTTTTTTTAATATAAATTATTAATTATATCGTTATTTTATTTTATAAAAAAAAGAAAATTATATAATTTTTTTATAATATTCCCTTAACGCCTAATTTATCGTTTATACGAAATTAATATTTTCGAATTTATTAAATATATAAAAAAGGCAGTTTTTTTATATTCGATAATAATAGCGATTATAACGAAAATTATTAAGATTTTTTTAATTACGATAATTTTTAAACGATTCGAAATTTTTCGATTTTTCGTAATCGCTTTTTAAACCCGATTATTCGATATACCGAACGCTTTTACCGATATCGAGCAATATACCGTTAAATAGTTTTAATATAATTTTTTTATTTTTTAATTATAAATTTTATATTTTTAGCTTAATAAAATTATATTTTTTCGGTTTTATTAGTATAATTTCGAGTTTTTCTTTTTTAAAAATTAACTTTCGTTTAATTTCTAATTATATAATAGGCTATTTTACGCGAAAAAAAATAATTAATAAATTAATTAATTAATTTACTATATAAAAATAATAATAATAAGCATTTATAAAAGGTATTTTAATATATTTTATAATTATAAAATAAATTTTATAAGGAAAAAGCCTAAATTATATTATACGATATACCTTTTAGTAAAATTTCGCCGGGGGATACCTTAATTTCCTATATAATTATTATATTTTACCATAATTATTATGCCCTATAATAATTATTATATTGGCAAATAATTATTATATGCAAAACAATCATTGTGTAACCCCTCAATTTCCCGCTATGGTAGGTAGGGAGTCCCAAATAGTAACTATTCGCTTAGAACAAAACATGAAGTACACAACCATACCACCCTCAGTCCAGCAATAACTCGACGTCAAACTCGCGATCTGTTTTCAGCTGGTATTGCGGCAGCGTGGCTGGTCCACAGCTCGCAGTGCCCAGACCATGGTGATACCAGTCCAGCCTCACCATGGTGTCATCCCTCTTGACCTTCTTGAGCTCATATGGATGTTTGGCCTCGTCTAGATCCGCAGTGCTATAATGCATGGCGCTGAAGCTCGCGCCTTCGTGATCGCCGAATCGTGCCCGGAGGAGTCTTCCACTCTCACCCACACCCCACTCTTCGCGGAACTCGACCCACCGAACGTCTGTGCGGTTGCCGCAGTCCTGGGGAAACTCGTAGTTGGTGAAGAGACTATCTACAGTGGCGCCAAATGTGTTCACATGCTGTGCTTCTTTCTTGTCGATATATGACTCACCCGGTCCGCGGCCAAACCACTCCACAATCCGTACGTCCTTGAGACCGAGAGTGAGTCCAAAGCGTGCAAATGTACTGGGAAGTAAAAGCCCCTTGGGCTTGGCTTTGATGCTAACGCTACAGTAGTTTGCCGTGACGGTGTACGTCGTTACAGTGTCGACACTCCAGGCAAGCACAGGAGGAGCGACGCGACCTTCCACGACAATCTTGAGGACGCCATTGTGCTCATTTGTAGCAACCTTGGTGAAATGCTTTCGCGTTTGGTGGACCCGGCGATCAATCCATTCTTTGCCGTGACCGGGTCGATCGTTGTCTGTCAATGCACGGTAGAAGTCCAGACTTGGAGGCTCGGTCATGAGATTGTGATTGGGACGCCCAATCTGTGCAAGAGAGAACAAGTCCCCGTTGATCGTGTTGAAGCCAAATATGGTACCGTTTTCGAGCAATACATGGACTGCGTTATCTGTTCTTCGCATGCCAGGCATAGCCGGGTCCGAGATGGTCTTGAGCGTTGCAAGAGATTCGGGTCTGCTTAAAGGTAGCTGGCTAGTTGCCACTGTGTGTCCGGCATACGCCCATTTTGTCCTTTTAGACAGGACAAAGTCCAAACGCAGCCAGGCTTCACCTGCAAAGATCCGGGGTAAATCTGGAATGATCAGTGTGGCTTTCGTGTGTGGCTTGATTCCCTTCGGAAGCTTCACTCTACGACCAGAAATCTCCTGTCTGTCCATAATGACACCGCAGAAGCAGTCAATGTCGTCGAGGTTGAGGAAGTCATAACGGTTGATGATCTCGACCTCCCAGTTCTTGCAGCCAAGGACTTGGATGGGTTGAATCGCTTGACCATATTCCCACAAACCTGGACCGGGGCCATGATTCGCAAAGCAGAGGCCGTCCATGACGAAATTCCCATCGTTTGGATCGTCGCCAAAGTCGCCGCCGTAGGCCATGTAGTCCTCCCCATGCTCATTCTTTGTCTTCAATCCCTGCTCATGTGTGAGCTTGATGGTCACAGAGTCGTCGAGTGTCAATGGTACTCACATGATTAGCCCATTCCCAGACGAATCCGCCCATAAGTCGTGGGTACTTGTAAAAAGCCTCAATGTACTCCTTGACGGCTCCTGGACCATTGCCCATCGCATGCGCATATTCGCACATGACAAATGGTTTCTTCCAATCCTTCTCCTTGGCATACTTCACCATGTCATCAACGGAAGTATACATTCGACTGTAGATGTCTGCCGTCTTTGCGTCTTGGTCTCCCTCGTAGTGAATGAGTCGTGTGGGGTCCACTCGCTTGATCTCATCGTACATGGCCTGGTGGTTCCTCCCATAGAAGGATTCATTGCCAAGTGACCATAAGACAATACAAGGTTGATTTTTATCCCTCATGACCATCTGCCTGGCGCGGTCTACATAGGCTTCCTTCCATGCAGGGTTGTCCGAGGCGAAGCTAGCCGGATCACCACCGACTTCGCCGAAGCCATGACATTCCAAATCTGCTTCGTCTAGTACCCAAAGACCAATTTCATTTGCGATTTCATACAAACGTGGGTCATTGATGTAGTGTGAGGTGCGAAGGGCATTGATACCAAAGAACTTCATCTGGAGGAGGTCGTCCTTGAGCAAGTCGTAAGGTACAGTTCTTCCGGATTCGCTAAGAATATTATCAGTATCGAGGCAGTCCAAATGCTTCCTGACACCCAAATGATTAGGCTTACGGATGATGCTCGTGACGATTTACACCACGAAGCTTGACAGGCTGTCCATTGACACAGAACACGCCGTGAATCAGCTCGGCAACACGAAAGCCAACCTTTTGGGCTACGTGTATACCAGCTACAGACAGCACAAGAGTATACAAATAGGGTGTTTCTGCAGTCCACTTTTGGGGCGATTTCATATATCGACTGAATTTAAAAGAGGAGTTTTCTGACGTGTAGACGTCGCTGAAAATGACTTTTCCGTCCTCATCTAGAAGCTTTGCCGACAGATCAACGTTGGGCTTGTTGAAAATAACATCGATGGCTAGCTCAGCATCTTCATAATCTTCATCGAGGAGAGTGCGAACGTGGAAATCTTCGATGCGGGTGGACGGGAATGAGTGCAGCCAAACATCTCGAAAAATACCACTCAACCACCATTGATCCTATCATGTTTAGCAGAGCGAGAACAAATACAAGAAATAGTTGGCCTACCTGATCCTCAATATAACTTCCATCACAACGCTGGTAAACTTCCACGGCAAGATAGTTTTGCTCAGAGTCGAGGTCGAGGTACGTCGTCACATCGAATTCACTCGGGTTCCTCGAACCCTGAGAGTAGCCCACCTTTTCGCCATTGAGCCATACAGTGAAGGCGGAATCGACTCCTTCGAATCTGAGGCGCCATTGGCATCCATCCTTCAAGTGTTCTGGTACTGCAAAGGTTGTGACATAACGTCCACATTCATTGTCATCATACGGTACATTGGGTGGGTCTACCGGAAATGGATAATTCACGTTGGTGTACTGAGGTCCTTTGCCATAGCCTTGGCATTGCCTACGATAATAGTCATTAGCCGCGATCTCGGTCTGCAACCCAATAAGACCAAGGATGAGGATTTCTGAGGAGAGGCCAAGTCTCTCGAAATGGCTACGGCTGGACTAGATGAAGTCCGGGGCGGTGATCTAATGGTGGAGCGATGGGAGAACTAACCACATGCCCGGGACCTTGACAAGCGGCCATTTGGTATTATTGAAGCCCGGCTCATAGAAACTCGTGGGACCATTGAAGGGGCTGTCGGCCAGATCAAAGCCCCAAAGACCAGAGAGCAAAAAGCTTCTCGCCTCGGAAGGTTGAGCTGTGATGGCATCGTCCTCGGAATTGTACAGGGAATAGTGGCTCCTGGGTGGAAGGGTATTTCGATGGATAACACCCAGATTATTCCAATCCGGAGTCTCTTGTGGGTACACGCCTTCTGAGTGGGCGTTATTATGTAGTAGAGCGGTTGATTGACTGTGGCAGTCCGTGTCTTCCAACCCGTGGCAGTCGCCTTGGCGCGAAACACCGATATCCAGATCTAGACGAAGGCTTGCCTGTGAGCGAATCACCAAGGACTTGGCCGGCTGTTGACCTCCGGCGGAGGACGGAGGGGATATGGAAGTTTTCGGGGCCATGGGGACCGAGCGATGTGGAGACTGGGGAATGTGGTGGAATATTGTGCGGAAAACTGCAAGGCTAACGGGAACTTGTTTTTGATGTACAACCAACGGGACCAAGTGTTGTAATCAGTATACCTACTACTCAGGCATAAGACGGGTGAGATGATTGTTAGTTAGCTTTACTCTCTCGACAAGTGATCTTGTCCAAGACTGTCCAAGCAAAGCCGGTCTTTCAATAATACGACTGGAAAAGTATCCCGCATTTCCCACCACGCGGCGGCGCTACGTACGCGGGCGGAATGGACGTTGCTGCACGTATTGCACCACTCACTGGCTGTGGGTTGGGGGCGTTTGCGGGGGGCGTGCTGCGGGTGGTTTCCGTGCTAAAGTACCAGCCTCACGTGATTTGAGGCGGCAGGACGAACCGAAATCCAGTCAAATGCGCGCGCCCTATGAATGAAGAGGACGCAGCAGCAGTGAGCAGCAGATCATGTTAGGTAAGTTGGTAGGTAATGGGTGAGGAAAAGTTGCATGCAAGTTTGGGAAGATGCGAGGTTCAATTGCGTGTGGGGTTGGTTTGGAGAAGGAAAGCGGAGAAGGAAGCGGAGGAGCGCTAGACATTGCTGATTGGGCGGCTTGACCTAGGATAGCCCATGCGCCCCTTCCGAACCCACGTGAGAGTCAAAGATTCATTCAGGATGAATTTTACTCCCGTGTTTATTAAACTTGCAGTGAATGGGTGACGCTGTGCATGGATTATGCTGTCTCTCGATTACACTCTCGGTAATCATGATTTTCTATTCTTTTTGGCCAGTCACATGCCTCTTCTGCTCTCTTTGGAATCGAGGATTGAATGCCGATTTTGTTTGCTCGATCGCTTGCTACCTTGAGTTACGCAGTTGGCTAGTACAGAGTATTCCGTACCTGTAGTACCGGTAACCAAACTCCTTAACCACCCCCCGCCGTTCCCGTTTTGTAGATGCAAGTGGAAACATTTTGGCATGGCGCCAATATCGAACCATGACCATTCGAACGCCTACTTTTGCCCGTCCCTCGAGCTAGCGGCGGCCAAGTCTTACCTTTCCCAGTTCCTTGTCCCAACTTGTCGGAAAGCCACTTGCCGACGATTCAAGGTAGAATATTCCGTATACAATCGAAAAGTCACGATGTGTGATACGCGATGCTGCTTGTCGTTTGTGGGATTCCCTCCCAAACTACCGGCAAGGCGGTTCATCTGCAAGTCTCTTGTGCGGAATACTACAATGGGCAACCACCTCGGCAAACCTGAGATCTGAGGCTGGACCAGAGCAGAGCCCCCTTATGAGATCGATCACTCAGCTGCTCGTGCCCTTCCAAACCGACCGCCCAGATGCATCCACACAAGACAGGCCTTGCCTCGTCCGTGTCGATCTGGCGGTCTAGGCAACGGCACAGCGCACTGCACATATTATTGATCTTTCTACGTGAACTTCTTTCCCTCTTCTTATTGTCATGCCTTTGCGCCATGTGTGTGTGTGTGAGTGTGGCTGCAGTCCAAGAAGGGATGCAAGTAATTCAAACCGGGGGTCAGAAGCCGACTGAGCGTTGGCTGCCGTCGTCTGGCTGTTTCCCGCCTATTGATCTGCAAGTCAGTGTGAGAGGTGTCGCTCTTGGATTCTGACTCGGTTGAATTGCCCGTATACCTCTAGAGCCACGACCCCAACTCCCCTTCTGGCCAGTCCCCCGAAGCCATCGCCCCCTTCACCTCACGAGCTGCATCGGGACGTCCAGGGTCGTGTCGCTTGGCCATGTGGGGAAAAGCCAGAGCTGGGGTCGGCCTTCCAAGGGTTCGGCCACGAACTGGGGCAACGGCGCCGATCTGGGGAATATCTGGGTAGCCAATTCTAGCCCAAAGCTACACGGTGCGCACCGGACCGAGCAAGCATGCCTTTTTGTATAAGTTATGCCCTCGGCCCTCTCTCTGCTCTGGGTGCGCCGATCACTCCTCTCAGCATACACGCTCTTGGGCATACTGCTCCGTGAAAACTCGATTGTAGTTTCTCTCTCCCAGCAAGCGTCTGGTATCTCCAGTGCACCATGGCCACGACTGACGACCACAAGGCCGAGGTTTCCCTCGCGCATGAAGAGGTCCCCCATGGCGAAGTCCGTCAAGTCCAGGCGGCTTCCGTGGCCCTCGCGTCTGCCGTTGCGGAACAGAAGCCCAAGCTTTGGTCAAAGAACATGAGACAGCTGTATGCGATCATGGGAATTGGTTACCGGTAAGTGTTGCAAATGCCTTCTTGGAATGCTCTGGAATAACATGCTAACTGTTGTCATGCGTAGTACGTACTAAATACGAGTCGAGCTTTTTCGAATGATATCGTGACTTACACAAAGCAAATCTTTAGTTGTCTCCACCATGAACGGTTTCGATAGCTCGCTCATGGGATCAATCAACGCCATGAAACCGTATCAACAAACTTTCGGTCTATCGGGAGAAGGATCCAGCGCTGGTATCATCTTCATCATTTACAATTTGGGCCAGATTGCAAGCTTCCCTTGTAAGTCCAATGCGCATAGACTACAGGATGGAGGTGGCTAACTTGTCAAGTTTGCGGTCTGATTGCTGATGGCTATGGTCGTCGTGTCTGTATTTTCGTTGGATGTCTAATTGTCTTGATTGGAACTGCTATCCAGGCTTCAGCCCACGAAATGGGGCAGTTCATTGGCGGTCGTTTTGTCCTTGGTTTCGGTGCCAGTATTGCGTCGGCTGCTGGTCCAGCTTATACTGTTGAGTTGGCGCACCCGGCATACCGTGGTACCATGGCCGGCATGTACAACAACTTTTGGTGGTGAGTAGACATTTGCCAGTGTCACAATTTCTCTAGACCCTTATTCTGATCAAAATATCCAGGGTCGGAAATATTCTCGCTGGTTGGACAACATATGGCACCGACCTGCACTACACTACTTCGTGGGCCTGGCGTGTGCCGACCATTGTCCAAGCCGCTCTTCCTGCAGTTGTGATGTGTCTCATCATGTTCTTCCCAGAATCGCCACGTTGTAAGTTACCCTGATCAACGGCAACATGGACTGTCACTTACAGTACTAGGGTTGATCCACAAGGACCGTACCGAAGAGGCCCTCGCCATCTTTGCCAAGTACCACGGTGACGGCGACGCAAACTCTCCTCTTGTGCAGCTTCAGTACCGCGAGATTGTCGAGGAGGCTGCGGCGACCCATGATCCCAACCCATGGTGGAACTTCAAGGAACTTGTCAACACCCGTGCTGCTCGATACCGATTTGCTATGGTCATTGGAATGTCCTTCTTTGGACAATGGTCGGGTAACAATGTTGGTAAGTAGAAACGTCTGCACTGAAAAGAGAAAGAGAAGAGAAACAAGACTGACATGATTCAACTCTTTAGTCAGCTACTTTATGGTACTTTTACACCCGTCCACCCCTTGATTTGGCCCCAGACTAACAATATTAGCCATCAATGATTAAATCTGCTGGTATTCTTGACACAAGCAAGCAATTGCTTATTAATGCTGTAAGTTGTGGTCAAGGATACTTGCATATGCCCGCAAGAAAGCGAAAATGCTAATACCAGAACAGATTAACCCCATCTTCTCCTTCATCGCTGCAGTCTATGGCGCGACGCTGCTCGACAAGCTCGGCCGCCGACCTATGATGCTTTACGGCCTGATGGGCTCTCTTGTCTTTTATATCCTCCTGACGGCGTTCACCGCCGAGACTACCAATCACCCTAACCTAGCTTACGGAACCATTGTTTCCATGTGAGTAGTTAGACATTGTGGCATTATCAATTTTTTGCGTGCTCTTGGGAAGCTAACACGAGAATCGCCAGTTATTGCTTTGGTATCTGCTTTGCCTGGGGTTTCACACCACTTCAAACTCTTTATGCCGTCGAGTGTTTGGAGAACCGCACTCGTGCAAAGGGTTCTGGTGCCAATTTCTTATTGTAAGTCATCTCTGACCTTTGCCAAATGATTTTAGAGTCAGTCGTCTAACATGCATTTACCAGTTTGAACATTGCAATGGTCGTCAACACCTACGGTATCGCAGTGGGTATGGAGGCTATTGGCTGGAAGCTGTACCTGGTCTACATTGGCTGGTTGGTCGTCGAGATTGTCGTCATCTACTTCTTCTTCGTCGAGACTGCCGGCAAAACCCTGGAAGAAATGTCGGAGATTTTCGAGGCCAAGAACCCGAGAAAGGAAAGCACCAAGAAGACCAAGGTCGATCTCGACGCGTCTGGCCGCGTTCTGCACGTCGAGAAGACCATCTCCGCCTAAGCCGCGGGGGAAAGCTTTGAACGTGAGAAAATCCTTTTGGCGAAGGCAAAAGGCCTGGCTGGATCAGTGATTCTTTTATGGTTCATGCCTTTTGCTGCCACCTCATTACGCTTCTTGCAAGAGAATGCTTAATAATGATACCCATACAATAATGAACAATGATACTTGGCCGATGCAGTGTTGCACTCATGAAAATTTTCTGTGAACCTTATTCAAAGTGAAGACTAAAAAGGTATATTTCGGATTTAAATTATGTTTCCGCTCTAGTTACATCGGATGGTCCGGTCCCGGAAGCAAGAGTACCGTAGTCTGGAAGCATGCTTTTATTCACCTTGGACGACAAAGGTATGACTTCCGCCATCTACACTTTTCGGGTATCCAATACGCTTGCCGACAGCGCCAGCACTCCAAGTTGATACGTCTCCGTCAAACTGAACAGAGGCCTCGGTAGAAGAAGTGTTGAGCAGAGGCAGCAGCACCAAGCCCGACGTGCCACTTGGAGTTTCGACGGTGACATTGTAGCCACCTTCTACCAGGGCCCACGAGGCCCGGTACTTGCCCAACCACGTGGAGAAGCCGCCCTCGGCAAAGTCGAGGTCGCCGAGCTGCGGCATCAGGGTCCAGGCGGAGCCCGCGAGCCCCGTCACCTCGAGGCCCACGACAAAGTTCGTCAGCGCCGACGTCGGCCCGGCGCTCCAGCCGTGGGCGTGGCTCGTGTACGACGGGTCGCTGTAGCCGCGGTTGTATCGATAGGCAAAGGAGCCATCGGCCAGGTAGCCCTCGACCACGGTCGACTGTGTCCCGTTTTCATTGTTCAGGTACCAGCCCCAGCTACGGCGGATGAGATCGAGAGCGCGTCCGGCTTGGCCGGCCAGAAAGTGCGCCTGGATCTCAAAGGACGAGATGAAGGGTGATATGGTTCCAGGCAGCTCTGGCGAGACGGCACCAATGTCGTTCCAGTTGCCCGTCAGCTGTGACGAAATATTCTGGTCCTGCGCCGCTGTGGTCACGTTGAATAGGACGGCGAGGGAGTTGGCGTCTTGCGGAAGAAGCGTCGTCTCTGTAGCGTTGTCCTTGAACGCACCTGCATCGGACACCCAGAGATACTGGTTGATGGCGGTTTGTAGATCAGCTGCACGGCTGGCGTAGGTACTGCTGAGCTCCGAATCGTCAACTAAACTGGCAAGCTCAGAGCCAGTGACGAGTGTCCGGTAGAGCCTATACGCCCATTAGCATACCATTTGGCCACGGGCGTAATGGATTACCTACAGCATGTTGGCTTCGCTGTTGTTAAACCCTTGTTGCCAGCGCGCCCAGTCTCTAACGCCTGTTACATTGAGAAGGCCCGAACTCAAAACCTTGCCGTAGACATTATCCATGGCGGCGGTATACCTGTCCCAATTCTGAGTCAAGAAAGTCGTGTCGTTGGTATAGAGCACATATGTCCATGTTCCAATCATTGTCCACATGTGGTAGGCTAGAAACATTAATACTCTGATTCGCTCCCAGTGTTCTAGTTTTGGAGCAGACTTACTGTCGCTGCCCTGCTGCAGTAAAGGAGGGCCTGCTTCCGGCAGCGATCCATCGGCGTTCTGGTCGCATCTGTCAGATGAAATTTGATCTCGGGGCTCTAGTCAATAGTGGCTCACCTGATGGTCATACATGACCTGCAACGCATTCTTGACGCTGTCCAACTCGCCGATTGAGTAAAAGGCTGAGGGAACAGCGATTCCCATGTCGCCCGGCCAGACGGCTCTGTCACGCTTTGCCCCGTCCACAATAATGGTGCTTCCATTGCCCAGGATACCGTCATTTGCCCAACCCGAGGTGACAAAGGGCACACGCCTTCCAGTGTCGACAGGCACGCTATTGGTCTGGATCGTGTACGCTCCGCTGTACCAGATCTTGTTCAGAGTCTCGTCACTCGAGTAGAAGTACCCCTGGTATGCCTGCAGATTAGACCACGTCGGTTGAAAGCTGATCTCCAATGACACGTTGGAGATTTCAATACTCGCATCATCCTCGGTTAAAAGGAATAGTGTGAGGTACCGGAATCCTCCCCGGAGCTTGACCAAGGGCACCTCATAGGAGCCAGCACCACTTTCCGTGAGATTAACAGCCAAATATCCGTCCGGCGCAGCGCGGCCATTAGAGTAATCCGACTGTTGTCCGATGTAGTTCTTTGCTTCGCTCCAGGCTAGGCCGAGCTGTCCCGTGCCGCTGACGGTATAGTTGAGTGAAGTAATGCCGCCAACTTCGATACCAAAGTCCAACACTACTTGTGATTCATTTCCGTACAGCGAGACGGTTCCGTTGTATGCTGTGGATGACGTGGTGTCCGCGGAAAGAACGTACTTTGGGCCGACGTTCCGACTTGATGGTGCATAAATGTACGAGTCCCAAGTGCCGGGAAATGCAGGACCGGAATGGCCATCGCAGACTGTATCTCTCCAACACGAAGCAGCCGTGCATGTCCGGACCAATGTCAGTACAGAAGTAAGCCAAAAGTGCTTCATCGTGGTTGTGGAAGAGGCCCCGAGTACAATATCAGGGAAGAGCCAAGCCACCGGCAAATCGATCGGAAATACACCAATCCATGGTTTGTTGGATCCCTAGACTATATAACGAGAAATTTTACCCTGGCAATCGCACTGCGCGGGGCTCTATGATCCTGCTTCAGGCCTGGTCCAGTGATCAATGGCAACATATTGCACCGAAAACGTGGGGAACATGGGGAATGCGGGGGGCACTTGTCAAGATCAGGGGTATATGTTTGGGCATGGAATGAGAACAGGTCGATCGTGTAGACGTGCGATAGCGTCCACGGTTAGGTTCTTTTCGCCTTGTATCTAAGGGCCCTGCTTGGGCAGGGAAAGTAAATGCCAGGAACAACAGCCTTTCAATTGGTGGATTTTGCCCCACGAACGGGTGATCGGGGGGCGAGGACGCTTGGTCATTCATTTGAGTCGTGACATCTCGCTCCATCACTTGACGATCCAACTCTGTCACTTTCATTCTTCAAGTTGCCTGACAACTTATTTACTCCCTTATGGATAATGGCTGAATATCCTACGTTTACATCTTGTGTGGACAATCCAAGCGCGACCACCCAAATGAATGCATTCTTCACAACAATCCTATTACCCGCCGCCCGGGTTCGGATTGCATGCACAAGTCTAATTCACGACGAGAGTGGGCCTTCAGTACAGTCCGGCCAGACATGCAAAGGGGAAAAAAAGGTTGAATCAATTATGAACTATCCGAGGTCAGATAAGTGACCGGCTTCTGGAAGCTTCTCGAGATATGCAAAGAATGTAACTATCCACCTGCAACCTACAGCTATCGATGCAGACGCTTCAAGCATTTCTGCAAAGGTGGTACTGACACGGTCAGTACCTTGCGTCAGAACATCAATTTTGTTTTATGCAACTGGCCTATCTCCGGTGCAGTACTCGGTGTAGTGGACGTCGTCTATTGCCGTAAGCAGAGTGCTGGGAAGGGTCGTATTGAAGAGCTTAGATTGTTGGCCGAACCAATCCGCCCCTGGAACACGCCCAACGGTTTGGAAGGTGAAGCCACGTCCGATCGTCCACGACTGGTCGCTAGGTAGAGTGCATTCCTGTAATCCCGCGACCAAAGGTTCCGCGTTGGCTGGTACGGAGTCATAGGGGCAGACATGAAATTGGTTCGGGCCCGTTGCTTCGAGAGGATAGACGATGATCGCGCAATCAAAATGGACAGGAGGGCCGTTGCCTGACCGAATACCACAGCCGAATGAAAAGTTTCGAAGCCGCAGGCGTGTCTCTGATGCTGAGCCAACAATGGTCGGAGCTAAGGTCTTGTATGGCAGGCGCCCGTGAACTCCAATGAGGCTGTTGACACGTCTCTTCCACCACTTCCACGGCCCCGGGGGAACCTGGTCGACCCTGTAAAAGAGGGCGTTGTTGTTGGGCCCGATGTTACCGACGGCGAAGTGGGTATAGTTCACATCATAATGGGGGTTGAAACCTGAGACGATGCCCTTGTTAATCGTGTCAACCGGAAGGGCGGGCACGTCGTTGAACTACACAACTGTTATTCCATGTTCCATACAAGAAGAAACATTGGTATGGGGTGGGATTTACATTGGCAACTCGAGGTCCTTCCGAGCAACTTAAACCAAGGAATGCCCTAGCCTCGATCGCTGCACCGACAGCAACCAGAAGCCAACAGGGGAGAAGAATAGTGGAAAAAGAGAAGCGCATTGCGTATTGAATAGCGGGTGGACAGTGTGACCAGCAAGAAAATTGAAAGAACGGAAAGAAAGAATTGCATGGGCAAGTTTACATCATGAGGGGACAGTGATTACTTTTATTATTATTTTTAAATCCCAGTTCTTGGGGCGAGATCGTGGACACTCCCGACGCCAAGACTCTCTCACACCGATAGAGTTCGGTACCTTGTTGGAAAGAAAGAAGAAAAAATCACCTGCATAAATCATGAAGTATATATAAGGAAGCGCATCTTCATTTGCCATTGTACTGCTGCGTGTGCCGTCTCTACGGATACCAAAATGTAAAAATCGTACTAAATAGGCCAAGACTGTCTCGTCTTGGATGGGCTGACAGCCATGTCTCAGTCTCCTGCATAGACTCGGTACGTAAACGGTCTTTTGGGGAACCCGCTTGCTTTTGGATGCAATACCCCGAAAGCTTGAGGTTATGTGATGAGCATCATCGCTGGATTTGGTCCGCAAGAATGGAAAAGAATTGGGCGCGCGGCTCTGTTAAAAGTAAACACAGTTGGTCTAATTTGCAAACCTTTTCGCTTGTTTCAAAACCCCCTATGATCTCCCAATCCTATGGTTATATGTGAAGTTCAAGGAATTTCACACTGGGTCATGTCTGTTCATGCAGCCTTATTTTGCGATCTTCGGCCTCCAATTACCTTCCCTCTCTTGCAGCCTCGAACTGAGTCAGGCGGTCCGTAGCGTCCTCACTTGGGTTTTCTTTTCGGAGAAAAGGGAATGATAACATGACTTCTCTTCCGGCGACACTCTCACTTTTTCCTCCGGCTTTAGACCTTTGACAAAATGCAAAATGGGGCTGTAAGCAGCACTCTCGGTCTCGGTCCTATTGAAGAATGGTTAACAACGGCTAAGATCAGTTCGAGAGAGAGCACCTCCATACTTGCGACACTGCTATCATTGATGAGATCATACAAGTCCTCATATTTGCCATTACATATTCTTTTTTCCAGTGGTACGATCTGTCTCGAACGTCTAAAAAGGTGTACCCAGAGGGTTGTTCGCATGCCTCTTACGGTATCGATGGTCAGAAGGCGGGGAAGGGTGTGAAAACCCGACGCGGACATGCTACAAAAAGCTGCGATTGGTAGCTCCTCCTCACATACACCAATCAGCACAGTATAGCGTTTGTGATTGACAGACACCACTGGTCCTGTGGTGACATTGCAGGTACGATGGTAAGTGTGACGTACGCGCGAAGTACCAGCGCACCACCTCTGCTTATGATAGCACAATATCAAAATCCCATTCAGATCCTCTCCATGCTTCAATCTATATATTGTTCCCTGTCCAACATGAAGGTTGAAAAATGGTGCCGCAGTCTTCTCCGTCTCTCTGTGGCCGATGTCACCCTCTTAGACCAAACATCATCACCTCTCTTCTCAAGCACAGATAAACGTGCCACTTTCAAACAATCGCACAAGTTTTGAAGACACCCTTGCCTTTATCGCCATCAACACGACGATTTTACAAGTCATGGCACCTGGAGTGGTTGAAAGTGTAGAATCGTGGAGTTCACCGTCGCACATTCCATGTTCGTACGATGGACCGCCTCGAAATATTCCCTACATTGACAACATCGACTTTGACAAATCACTCCAGCCAAAGGACTATAATATCACAGGGACCGACCCCGAATCTAAAATCCTCATACTGGATGTCCAGATACTTGATGCAACCGGGAAGCTACCGTACCGAGGGGATGTAATGATCCATGGTAAGTCAAGTGTACCTCAACCGCCAGCCCAGCCATTGTAATATTTGGACTTTCTCAAACAAGCCGTAAGGGCAATATTTTGCGCATGTTGGCGTCGTTCCCGAAATTGAAACCCTCCAAAGGGATCCCGGTGTTCGCGTTTTCAATGGCAATGGTCGAACCCTGATGCCTGGTCTGGGCGATGCCCATACCCATCTCACCTGGGACGGTGGCGATCTCAATCGCCTCGGAGAAATGCCGGTCGAAGAACATACCCTGCTTACCGCCAGAAGCGCGCGATGCTACTTGGACTCTGGGTACACAATGTCAGCCGTCCTTGCCTCCTCCCGAGTCCGTGGTGTGTCAAACTAATGGCGAGAGACAGGTGTTACGGGGCCGCATCAGCCAAAGAGCGTCTGGATATCGTCATCCGGGATGCTATCAATGCCGGATATATTCCCGGTCCTAGATGTCTTGCCAACGGTATGGAAATGGCTCGGACCAATGGCGACCTTGTGGCGGGTATCACAGCATACGCTGACGGACCAGATCAGATGCGAGAGGTGTCAGTCATATCCATCATAGCTTGCAGCATGCACGTCGCATTTACTTACAAATTTGCAGAATTCGGCACCATATCAACCTGGGAGTAGACAACATCAAACTGTCGATGTCTGGAGAATCAGTAAGTGCTAACGACCACAGCTTTGTGTCAGTTGATGGAGCCCGTACCGGCTGATACAGATTCGTACAACAGTTGACTGAAACACGAGATGCGGAGGACTGCTACTATACCGACGAGGAGACGGCAGCATGTGTGGATGAAGCTCACAAGTCTGGAAAGAGGCTATGCGCGCATGCCAGAGCTCGAGAATCTGTCAAGATGTGCATACGTCACGGTGTCGATGTTATCTATCATGCATCCTTTATAGACGAAGAAGGTGAGTATTGATGTTTTTTCGTCCCGGGAGGATTCACATGGGAAAACTCCCTTGATCGACGTTGACCATTTACACAAAACCAGGCATGGACATGCTAGAAGCTAGGAGGCACAAACACGTAGTAGCTCCGGCCATCAATTGGCTGGTAAATACGCTATACGAAGCTGGCGCTTTCGGATACGCGACCGAAAAGGCTGAGCAGGTTGGATATAAAAAGGAGCTAGAAGCCGCTGTGCGCGGCTTGAGAGAAATGCACCGCAGGGGAGTCGTCGTTCTTCCAGGGGGGTAGGTTTGAGACTTGAGTTACCCTGCTCCGGTACGGAGGCATCAGAAATGTGCAACTGACCACTGAAGCTGTTTATACAGTGACTACGGATTTGCGTGGACGCCTCACGGCACGTATGCGCGTGACCTACAGCACTTCCGGGACCTACTAGGTTTCACTTCGCACGAAGCAGTCATCGCCGCAACCTACGGAGTGGCCAAGCTCTTTATGCGGTCCCATGAGATGGGCCAGATCAAGGCAGGAAACTTTGCGGACTGCATTCTGGTAGATGGTGATCCTTTGGAAAAGATTGAGATCCTCCAGGATCATGGTAAACTGGACATTATCATCATCAATGGTCGGGTACACAAAGCTTGAAGGATAGAGTGCCATACTGTTCTCAACCTGATCCTGCTCGAGATAGACCACCTCCTTCGTAGACCTCTAGGTTGTTATCGGCCCGGATCAAAGCCTGTAAAAAGGTAGAATTTGAGTTGCACCTAAAGTCCCTGGAATGTCGCGGCTGACGCTGGGAGCTCTCCTTTGCGTATCCATTTAAGCATGCCATCCCCCTCCACTCCAATGCCTTTTCAAAATTTTCAAGCATCTGACCTACCAAAAGCCATCAATCCATGAAGTCACATCTTCCTACCGAAAAGGAAATTCGATCCTGACACCGCTGAAACCAAGCTCACTTCAACCGCTCAATAACTATCTTGTCACAACTCGTCGCTGGCTAAAGAAAATGGGAAACAACCGGACGTGTTGGAGGTGCTGGAGCAAGACCTCCGTTTTGACTGCTAAACTCCTGTTCCACCTCAGCGGTCTGCCACTTTTTAGTCAACAACGAGACTATATACAATGCTCATTGGATTCTACGATGTATTATTTGGCTATTCTACTTTACATTTGTTTTGATCATTTTGGTCGTCATTGCCAATCTCGCAATTCGCCCTACCTGGTATGACGATGAGTTGCCGGAGGAACACTGCCATATTCTGGATTCACCTGACAAAATGGCACGGGAGATCGAAAGGCGCAAAGAGCTTCTGATCGATGTGCGAGACGATCTTCGTGCCGAGCGACTCTTTTTAGTGGGCCGGTAATCGTTTGAATAGGTGTCGCCGGGTGATAATCTGGGGATCTCGCTACATTTCAATCGTGACGGGAACATGATATAAACCAAATTCACCACAAGATCAATTACTTGCCTTATATTTCACGCTTTTGTCGACTATTACCACCACAGCCACATCACGATGAGCATTACGTACATAAGTAGACCAGGGTATAACACTTCCTTGGTCAGTCGAACAGGCATGGAAAGACCCCATTTGTGACGAAAATATCCCATCACCGAAAAGTGTTGAGACTGAGATGGGGGAATTCCTGCTTTATTCGCGTTGAAGGCGATGTCAAAGAAACTCACAATGTTACGATTGATGCATGGAGAAAGATGATGACTATTCGAAATCAAAGATATCGTTGCCGACCAGACAAAAGAAATATGTTGTCCAAATAATGTGGGGGAAACATTACAACAGCAGGGAGTCCCCAGCCGTCACCAATCTGAGTACTAATCCAGCGATTACAGGACATGTCTACCATGAATCTCGAAGTGCCTCTCGCCCAGAGTTTTGCATAATTCTCCTACATCTCAACTACCTTGGATGCATTGAAACCAGCAGACTGGCTGAAATAATAACCTCGTTGGTTCGTATATAACCGCTTCCCCTGATCATCCTCAAAGTCGCAGTTATAGTGCGTGTGACCGAAAGCCCATAAGCAGATCGTCTCATTCCAGAGAGAATTGTCACGCAAATCTGTTGAGAATGCTGACTTGATCGTGCTATTGCTATGTTGAGGATCTACGGCCCGGTTATCGGTAGTCGGGCTGAAATGGGTGAACACGGCAACCTTGCGCCCGGAGCCATTCAATCCTTCTAGTTGTGTCTTCAGCCACTGAACGTCGCGCCGATGCTCTTCATTATGCTTCTCGACATCCCATTCTTCGGTATAGTAGAAATCGTTGACCCCAAAGCTCACGTGATCGTGCGACGCAGGGTCGACATTGGAGAATAGCGTACAGCCTAGTATCGTGACTTTGTCTTCTCCAACATCGATATCGAATCTTTTTCGATCAAGGAGGACGAATTCACCCAGGTTCTCGCCACCCTCCTTTTTTCTGCAAACGTTCTCTTGGAACTTCGTCATGTCATCCTTCACCGTGGCCCAACTCGAATGATAAGGCTCATGGTTACCCAATACGAGCAACACGATCTTGAATTGACCTAGTTGCACTAGCAAAAACTTGCTGTAATCATCGAAATCTTTGGAGAGACAGCCGACATCGCCTAGAAGAGCTAAGCAGGGTGCGCGTGGTGTAATCTCAAAGATATCATAACTTTTTGGTGCTTCAAGATGAAGGTCTGAGAGGATCTGGATAGCGACCATATTGCCTTTGGGTGGGTGTCTGGAATATCGATGATAGTATGTTGGGAGCCGGGGTTCTAGTTTCTAGTCCCTAGGTCGTGAGTGCTATCTAGACGGCTAAAGACATCATTTGAGTCGCAAACTGAAAGATGCAGGTCTCAGGGCAGGACATTGGTACCTGCGCGTGGAGGAACAACCGGCGTACGGTTGCCTAGAGGGCAAACTGTTAAAAGCCCTCAAATTATGCAGCGAATAGCTAAAGTCACGTTAATACCTAATTATAAAAAATGCTTAAAGAAATTTAAAACGAAAAAAAGGGGAAATAAAAACGAAGAAAAAAAGAAGAAGAATAATATTTATATTTAAAATTTCGTTTTCTTTCAGGTTTTTCTTATAATAATATATTATTATAGCTGCGTAAATAGGAGTATATAGTGTTAAAATGGCATTTTTTTAAAGGTTGGCCTTTTACCAGTGACGCTTTTTCTTGGCAGCTGCCAGTGGCCCGCCCAGTGGTAGGTGGTAGCTATATCGTAAGGCAATATTCGAGGTTTAAATATTAGAGGCCTCTCACCAAACTTTTACCTGTATACCTGTAATAGGTATGAACGGGGAAATAGGATGGATGTATTTCCAGAATCGCTTACCGCATTGATTGCGCAACGTCTCAACCCCCGTCAGGTTCCATGTGCGCTGTGGGGCCATTGCCTTCTCAATGTCCATGGCGTTCCATCCATCATAGACGTGAGTCTATCTTGACCCTTGAAAGTCTGACCATCGGCTAGCTGTGTTGCTGAAAGTCGATAGACTTTGTTGTTCCTAACCACTGCTTGGAGATTGCGTCCAACGCAACGGCTCAGCTTGGCAGCCTGATAGCAGTTTCGGACTTGCAGGCTTGTCGTGCAAGCTCGCCAGACCGAATTTCGCCGCCGCCATCATTTCATCTGCTTATCAAGGACGACGAAATCATGGTAGAACTTTACGTACAAGCCGAGACACTCTGGTGCCTACCACCACTCTCTGCTCCCTTGTCCTCGGACTTCCTTGTCTGCTTCCGACCAAACTATTCTGCCATCAAAGCGGCCAGGTCGGGGATCTGGTGCATTCTAGCCAAGTCAATATGATGTTATGGTCCCGAAAGCGCACATCTTGCTGGAAGCTTTCCTACGAATATACGCGCGCGACTCAGGAAAGCGCGTAGGTGCTTTTGCGATGCCTATGATTTGTTATATGGAGGAGTATATGGACGATGATGGGTTCTTGGACGACAGCCAACCTCCAGAACTTCTAAGAACATTTTACTCGGAGCTCAGAGATGGGAGTAAACCAGCTAATTTGTGGACCCAGGAGCTGAAGGCAGCTATTGGAGTTTCTACTTAGGATTCCGAATGTGGTATATTATGTATGTCGTGGACAATGAAAAAGATTACCATGTTCCAACCCTTGATGTCAAGATTCCCGACACTCAAAGTGATAATGACCTTCCACGGTCTTTTTTAAACAAATATATCGGGCTTGGATCTCGTGTTCAGCATTTTTATGTCACCTAAGAAACTATAGGCGAATTGCAAGTTCGCCTTGACAACCTATAATAGTGAGCCCGCTATCTAAACCGCGAGGAGCAAATAGCCTCTAGCTCGGGACCAGCCCGATGCCTTCATTGTACTGCATGAGCTCTTTCGAATCGTCTTCCGATATGAGAGGTCGTCCATGCAATGCTCGACCAAATGTGCAGCATTTCGACAATGTATGAATACTTCAGCATCCATCTTGCAAAGGCATCTAGACCAGCAGTCTTCTACTCCGTGGCTAGCATGCTACGTATACTCCCAATTCCATTGTGCAACTTGTCACGCCAGTGACAAATCAAGTTGGCTTCGCTTCATGGAGTGGCTTCGACGGCAGTAGCAAACCCGTAAAAATCATGTCTTGAATTGTATCATGTATACAACTGGGTGGAGTGCAGTCAAGGCTTAGCTTCCTCGGTCTCGGGCCGCAAAACAGACTTTCGAGTCTGAAGGAAGGGAGAACGGGATCCTTCCCCCCTCCCAATCGGCCGATGTCACCATAAACCAGGATCATGTGCAGTCATGATGGTCGAGAGCCAACCTAGAAAGGATCATGGAGAGAAAAGATGGCTTGCGGACGAGACCCCATGTTACCGCTCAGTATCAGGAGGAGGGGTAAGGGGTGGTCAGCCCTCGTGATTGACGGCATGGCAGCTAGGATCATATATGTCGAGGTCATCCGAAAACAAACAAGAAGTGGATGCGACTGTGTGGTGTCAATCATATAAATCTTGTGCCGTCGATGCACGAAATTGGATAATGATGCCGGTAGATTTCTTAGGTCCCTTTTTTTTTTTTTTTTTTTTTGGTTATAAGCCTGCCGATTTGGATTCTTGTATAATGAGGATCAAAAATACATGCGATTCTACATCTGCTAATCTTCAGCTTACATATCTTGTTCCCGTTGCGAACAAGCGAGCACCGGGTCTAACCGTCAGCTGGATTCTCTATGCGTAGATATCGGATGAAATTGAAACTTGGGCACGAGATAAGGTTATCAGTCTCAGATCTACGGATGCTCGTCTCGGCCGAAGCTTCTTGACGATATAGATTCACATTTTATTGTTATGCGACATCTCCAGCTCAGAGACCATATCCTGAGCTATATCCACTGCGACCAAGCTATGTGCCATTGTCGCTTCTTATTGTTCTGTTATGGTCCGGGATCATCATGGATGTAAAACCACGCAACTCATTTATTGTTTGGTCGACGATCGCTGTACACTGACGTTCCGAGGTCTGAGCGCTGACGATCGGGACGCTTACCGAGTTCTTTTTTGTGATCCTCGCGACTCCACGGGCCTGGCAGGTTGCACAAACAGAGCAGCCGATTGATAGCCGCCTGTGCCTCGCTTGAAAAGCCCAATACCCGGGCTACCATTTGATAATAGTAGGGATAATATTGACAGTAGTAGCACTGCTGCCCCGCGTCCTAGTATACCGCCGCCGTCGCAGCCCAGTTCTGGTCCGAGACGAATCGGGTTCAGAACATCAGACGGGACGACGCGAAGTGCATCGTGACGTAGGATGTGCATCTTGGTCTTGCCCCGAGCCATGGCTCATCGTCTGTGCTCATCAAGAAAGCAAAAGACTTTGTACGGTCGATGCTGCACCCCGCGTTGTACGCCTTGCCTGCTTGTTTAGCACCTTGATTTGCCGTGCACGTTTTTGCCATGGATGATTTTCTGGTCAAATATTCACGCACGGGCCCCAGGCAAAGGCTCTTTTGATTTTGACATTGACAGTTTCCCCCTTGATTGCCGAAATATCCATGCCGATCTTGAAAGACTTGGGAGACTTTGCTGGGGGGTTCAACTACCAGGTTCCGTGGTGATGCGGAAACTTTTGGACCGCTCGTGTTTGAATATTTGGTTATAATGTGCGCGCAGCCTATATAATTTTGGGGTACTGAACGTTGTTGAGTAATCTTGGCGACCAAAGTACGAGTTCAAACGTATGTGCAATTGCAACAACATGGATAGGTCGGGGACGGCGTAACAGTATCGGGGAATAGACGACGACATGCCTCCGACAAGCACCAGGGTAAGGTATCTAGCGATCACGTAAGCTTGTCTAGGTCAAGGGAGTTATCTTGTTGTCTTTAGAGTTTCTGGCACAAAAAGAGTCTCGAAAGAACGTGTGTGTGCGCTGAGATGTGCTTTTGATAGACGGGTAATTGCGATGGACCTGGTAGCCTTTATGATCAACAGGCCTGATCTGGCGTTCCGCGATCTGTAAACCCTAGGTGCTCCCAACGTACGATGATCCGTGAACTATTGGCCTCATAGTGCACCCAGCTAGATCACAAAGACCAAGAAAAAGGCTCGAACCCACTTCGTCTGCTACTCCACGATTTGCACTGCGCCCAAAAAGATGATGCGGTATGTATGAAAATTGCTGATTGCTCTCAGCTGTGATGCCCTCTGCTTGGGGTCAGTTGAGGAGAGGGGATCTTTGGGGGGCCCTTGACATCGAAGATCCTGACACGAGACCCTGTGGACGGTGGGGAACGGAACACCTTGCCTGGGCAGACCTTGCGAAAAGGGTAGGCAAAGGGCCACCTTCAGGTCTGTCGGGCATGTGGAGTGCAATCTTGGATCGCTGTCAAGTGTCAACCCCAGAAACTGTGGAGCTACGGGTGACGAGTATCTGATTACAATGCGTATCCTGCAAAGCTCTCAGCCACGATATCGGTAATAGCGATCGTAAGACCCTGATCTTCACCCTCTGAGGTTGATTGTACTGTGTAGAGAGAGAGTGTGATAAACGATTGCCACCGGCAGAGTGTTCAGCGTATTGTCTAGTCCAGTCTAAAATATCATACTAGTCAACATGTACGAAATATGTAATGTAGGTACGGCACTCGTCTGACTGCATTCATGCAGCATCCAATGCTGGCGATCTTCTCGTGTGGCACCAGAACTTTATTTGCGCATATCGAAGATTCCATCACGACCTGTACCTAGGTAGGTATATCCTTGGAACTGATAATCTTGTGGACAACAACTAGATTCTGTACAGTACTTATAAAACATCAAGTATTGAATTTTACCTAGGCAACTAATGCACGTTGTTTTGTAATCCTTTCCTGGGTTGGATGCCACCAACGATGTAGCCGTCTGAATGAGGATAACGCTACGAGTCATTGCCCTTCCAGAAGGCGCATATCCATTCTGTCGGGTCGTCATCAAACCGGTCTTCTAGTGACGCTATCGACGGTCGTCAGAGATAGTTTGTAGACCATCGCGATAGTCTGATGGGAAAGCCTTTCTCGCAAGTCGCCGGATCGAAGCCCATCGGGGATTTCTTTGCGCTATGGTACTACTATAATGTAGCCTGCCTACGGTACCTACTACCTGGCTAAGGTTAGTTAGTCCATGTACCTACCTACATTACCAAAGGTATCGTCAGGACTCAGCTCCCCCCGTTCGTCATTTACTGGCTTATGGGGCAACTACTGCGCGTGAACGATACGCGAAATCGCATCTCGGCAACAAATCCACATCACCCAAGGATACCTAGGCAACGTGGACGATGTGTTATTCCGTCCAAGCGATACGGACACATTCGTGCGTCTGGTGAATCACGTCTTCTGGCTTGATGGTGGCGCTCCTGGTAGCAAGAAGATTCGTTCTGTAGGCACATGTCGATGCCAACTGCATGTCAATCTCCCGCCTGTTTGTTCAGTGTTTCATAGAAACATGTTCCGGTCGGCTCCTCCCCAACCTGAGACGTCCCACATATCGACGGCGGCCGATCCGAAGAGACCTCACCAGTGACCAGAAAGGCATCTACTGTAGGTAGGGTAGGTGGCAGTGTGTTTTTTCTCCCCCCTTCCCCCCCAGCTGGGTCAAACAAGTCGTATCCGTGCAATAATTTTTCTCTTTCACTTTTTTCCACAACTTCGGCACGCCGGAGTCAAGCGGACAGGGTTTCTGACTTCGAACCCTTGGGGGGATCTGGATGGACATTATATCTTCTATATTCGGACTGTGGGGCACTGTTAATGTACCATGGTACCGTACCTAATGCAACTAATAGCTCATAAGTGATTGATTGCATTTTGTTGTTTTATTCTTCGGGGTCTCGCGCGACTCAGAGCTGACTGACTTCCCACCAAAGAAAATCTTAAGAATTGTGTAGCGACCCTGCTAACATGCTTTGTGCTATCTAAACTGGAGCTGCTCCAACCATTTGCATGAGGCTATTCAAGCACTATTAGGTAGTAAGATGGTAATCGCCTGTCTGAAGCGGCCGTGTCTTTATTCAACGATATGAGCATTCTTTTAATTCAATCGTCGTGATTTCTTGCCATGGCTTCCAACTTGACTTAATCCGCGAATCCGCCGCAAAAAAAAGACTTCTCCATCACACGCAGTGGCCCTAGGCTCCTAAAGGGTTTAGCCAGGGGTCAACTCATTACCACCCACTCCAAGGCCTTCCGTAAGAGGGGGCATCTGAGTGTAGAGAACAAGGGGGTACCCATGCCTAGTCGCGCTGGTCCTTCTGCTTGCTGTTTTCCTCGAGCGCCCGTGGTGAACTCGACTGTTAGTTCAGATGTCGCCTGCACAAACGCTTCTATTAGCATATGCAGCGGCATTGTAAGGGCCGGAGGAAAATCTGAAGTTTGTTCTCGCCGGTTTGGTTTGTGATTACATACTACTACATTGCGGTAGAGAGGTGCTATACTAGGTTGACATATCATTTGGTGCCGTCGTCATCCGCCAGAGAGAGATAATACTACTGCCGTCCAGTGATTGCATCCATCTGCCGTTTGATGCATGAGCGGGAAGCCACCAACCTGATTATACCTTACCCGACCTTGCCTACCCTCGTCACTGGCTGAGGCAAGGCAAGCCAAGAGGGCATGGACATGGGCAATGGCATTTCCGTATCCCCCGTGCGTACCTGAGAAATACCTACGGCGTGCCCTGTCATTCACGAGATCGTCATGTCTGTGTAAAATGTAGGCAGCTTGCTAGGTAGGGGCATGTCGTTCCAGGGGGGAATCACACCCCAAAACCCTCGCCTTTTTTGGACCCCTGTGCCTGGTTGGCACTACTGTGAAGTACGCTGCGTACATGCCTAGGTTAGTGTATTCAGTACTGTACGCTGGAGGAGGAGTTGAGGAGAGAGGAGTGCGGGCACCCCTTCCACCTCCACTCAAAAAGCCAGTCCAGAATCAGAATGCCTGATGCTTGGCAGGCCAAATTGTGCATCAGTTTAGGTCGGTCTTGGTGCGTCCAGGAAAGTGGGTGTCCGCTGCAGACAGGCTCGATCTTAATTTATTGGCTCGGGAACTGCCTGGGCGTTCTTTTCGACAGCCATCGCCTCCGATCGCCAGAGTTTAATACTCATACTAGAAGAGCCATCGCAACGCCAGTTCCCGCACGTGGGAATTGGACAATCTCCTTTCTCTATCCTTTCTGCCTTCTTTCTCGACGTCTTCTTCCCCGGCCGTTCGGATCGTCTGCCACTGGTTCCCTTGCTATCTGTCTCAAGTGGAGACTCATCGGAGCAGCTCGAGGGAAAAAAAAAAAAATCAATCTTGGACCTCGAGTACGAATCAATCAATACACACACATACATTCATTCACTCACTCACCTTCTTTTACTCTTTTCTCTTTCTTTCTTTACCTCTCGGAAGTCGAGACAATCTCCAGACTTGTTTCTGGCTCGCGGAGACATTCTCTTCTAGAGAATGTTGGGGGAACAGGAATTACTTACGATACACATAACTATTCCGCAATCCCAATGACCGGTCGTCGCTTGGGTTCGTCTGGATAAAGCTTGGAGGACGAAACAGATTTGGCAACAACCGCCTTCGATCATTGGATCAGCATCGCACTCGACGAGAAAATCCCAAGACTATACGCAATTGGCGAACATTTGGAACAACCACGGTATTTTCCTCGACCACTTCTTCATCTTGCAACGACTTTTCCTTCGTTGCATTGTCTATCACCGAACCTACCCGTGGTGTCCTGGTGGGACTGATATGTCTGCTACTCAATACTTTTGTTGACCATGGGCAACAAATCCAAATTTACCTTCCCAATCCCGGGGCGGAAGGCAAAACCTCCAACGGATCCACAAGTCAGTGCAGTGCCACTCACAAAAGCACAAAAGATTCTGGGGACTGGCGGCGGCATCAATACTGCCTCGACAGCGTCTCTCCATCCAGGCTCGGCCAAACCCCAACATTGGGATTCAAGATCGGGCATCAGCATCGCAGTATCTGAGAGTACAGCGAGCTTTGCCGACACAGGTCTGAATGTTCTTGATGAGGAAGATGAGTTTGACCCTGGGAGATATAGGTCGAATGGGTGGGATGCTGAGTCCGACATCATCCCGCGTCAGCCCGTCGGCGGACACGGCTTGAGAATGCAGAGGTCGGCTGCCACCATTGGTAATGATTACAGGACAGAGGCCTCGAGCATGAAGCGACGTGAGTCGATTGCTTCGACAATCTATAGCCATTACGACAGGAGCAAAGTTCCCTTGTCCATTTCGCAGCAGACTTCGAATTCGGCCATGGCCAAAGGATTCGCCAGCAAGGCCAACTCGTTACTCGACATGGACGGGAGTCTCGCGGGCCCGGCGATCGCAAAAAAGAAGCCATCCCGACTAGATCTGTCCAAACTCAAGCCGCGGAGTCGCAAGGACCAAAATGCCCAGCCTGCTGCCAATGTTCTCGGCCACGGCTACGTGAACAGATCCCCATCATTCATTTCCCAATTTTCATCTTCTCATAATGTCTCAAAGAAGGTCGGAGCGTCGCCATCGGCAACCAGCACACGTACCTTTGATAGCCCCAAGGGTGTACAGGACTCGACCACCTTGTCCCAGTTATACGATCATTATGAGCAGATGACCTTCCGCGAGGATGATGATCTCTCAGGAGAGGATGAATTCCCAGACCGACCGCGCTTTGACTCGGTCGCTGAGGAACCGACACCTCCTCTCACCACGTCATCAACCATTTCCTTGGTCACGCCGCTCTCGAATCCGGCGGTTCGTGATACAAACCATCGTTTGGACCATGCCAGGAAAAACTCGACTGGAAGTCGAAACACGACCACATCAAACACTCCTAATATCTCTCAATCTCACCAACTTTTACCCGGAAGAGACTATGCGTCAAGTATCTCCAGTCGCAACACCAGGAACTCGAAAACGTCGAAGACCTCGAAGACCTCACGAACTCTTGAATCGGATCTGCAAACAAACAGCGTCTTGTCACTATCAGATTCCGACTCAGACGATGGTACTTTTAGTGATTCAGCGCCCAAGTCATCAATGTCTTCGCACACGAACATATCTCATGAAGATCTCGCTGCTCTGTCCGATGCACGAAAAGGAATGCCCAAGCGACCACCAGTGCCCCAGGAGAGAACCTCGAGCCGTCAACAGAAGCATGGAAACTTTGCGACTCTCAATGACTACCTTGCCGTCCCCGCCTCGGCTGGAAAAGGTCACAATGCCCGAATTCCTTCAAGTAGCACAGTGCGATCTTCTTCGACAGCGAGCACAGAAACGACAGCCAGATACACGGCTTCTGAAACCGGTCGATTATCGCGTCTCTCAGTGTCAACGGCAGGGACCTCAGACTCCCATCACAGTTCGATTTCGGGCAAGAAGACACTAAAGTCGCAATGGAGTCAGCATACTGGAGCTGACGCCAAGGCTGTTACAGCCAGGCCCTTGGCTTCCACTGCTGAAGCTCTAGATTCCCTCAGGGAACTGACAGCACAGGCTACAGATAAGCACCGCCGCTCATTTAGCTCTGACCAGTCAGAGTCGCCAGTATCACCGTCGAGCGGAGCTTCGTACAATGGTGGCAAGGATTCCACCCGTGACGAAGGCGCCGACTCTCACAATGGACGATATATGGCCGTGACTAAACAGGAAGAGGCACTGCTTGCAGCTCTGAGGCACAAGAGAGCCATGATGCGGGAAGATATCCTTGCAGAATTGGATGGCGATAGAAGCAGCGTCGGTAGTCGCCGTCGTAGCAGTGCCAGCAGTGGCGGCCGCGACAGCCAGCTACAAAGCTTGAGATCATCGAAGCAAACGAGCACTCGGATCACATCATGTGCTCCTCAACTACCCCCATATCAACCAAGAAACTCTTCCCTTGTTTCCAGCTTCAAGAACCTCACAGAACGAAAAGACAGTGTGCGCAGGACAGACAACAACGTACGATTTGCAGACGAACCTCAAAGCCTTAGTCACGATGATCCGATTGAGAAGCGTTCTAGCTCAGCAATGAGTAATGCTACTATTAAAGGCAACGCTGCCGGGCGGCACGAACGTGTGCTGCTGTTTCTCGATCGTCCTGTCTATGACATCGATTCTATTGACACGGCAGAGCCAAGCCCGGACCTGAGCGAGTTCATGGATTATGACCAGGACAGCGATGGCGAGATCATCCCAGAAAGCCGTCGCAGCAGGAGGATCTCGAAGCATACCAGTGCACACGGATTCCCAACCCCAGCACAAAGACGTGCTGATCGGCCTAGAGCAGACTCAAATTTGCTTGGCACCCGTGGTTCCAGTCTGCGAAGACAGCTGGAGAATCTGCCAGAGTCGAATCTGGAGAACGATGAGGAGGATGACATTGACTTTGACGGATTTTCTGATGTCATGGGCCCTCCGCCATCGGAGGTTTCGGACAGAAGAGAACGGGTTACTGCGAGACCTGATAGTCCCGTTCAACAGCACCTTGCAAAGACGCAAATCAAGGGCCACGTTCGAGGCAAGAGCAGCGCGGTGCGGCTGAGCGCTGTTGGCAACGCTGATCTATACTTGCCGCCCGAGGTTGGGCTGTGGGGTGATGATGGTTGAAGCGGTTGTTTTGGCTGGCTTTTGAAGCGTTTTGGAGTAACACGATTTTCTTTTCGATCACGAACGAGGGGACACACATACCAACCATTTATTTTTCATTTGTTCATGTACGCACGCATCTTCCAGGTTCAATGGGAAAGAAGCGACTGGCGCTATGGCGGTTTCCGATTCATGACCAAAACAACACAGCATCTCATTCATGGCCTCTTAATATTTTGTGGATTAATGGAGGAAGCATTTAGAGGATAGGTTAGGCCCTGCTGGGCAACACCCATTTCATGTGGTCATATACCCAGGTATCAAGGAGCACGATAGCTCGTATAATGGAAGATGATGATCAGTCCGATCTTGAATATAACTTCTGACATGGTCTCATGAAACCAAGCGAGAAACCAAAGCCATAAAAGTGATATGGGACCATATTTGCGACAATAGGACGCACACAAGGCACAGCACTTATACCAGTAGCCAGAGGACGCAATACAATATCTTTGCCCTGCCTCATTGAGCGGCACCCTCTTAGCCTACCAACCTCCTTGTTTAGATTCTGACCGATTATTCAACTACTGATACACGTTTCGGGCCCATTATTGGGAGTAGATGTGCCAAGAAGACACCAGCCAACCTAATCCTTCAAGGTTGGGCGATTTACACGGCCGGGCGGGATGAGACGACATGGTTACTTGTTGGAAGCGAGAATCAGCCGCTGCTCCTCGAGATGTTTGCAATTTTTTGTTACATTTCAACAAGCACTAGTTGACGACTGGCGAAGCCGACAACGCAGATGGCGGGCGAGTACAAGTCATCTGACCGATAACTTCAACCTCAATTCGGAAGAGGATCTGAATGGGATGGGACGAGCGATGAATAGTGCACATCTCCCCGCGCATTAGTATCACCGTTTCCTAGGTTGTGCTGGTGCTCGAACTCATGTGAGCTACTGCGATAACCAGTGACAGAGCAGCTCTTGAGCCATGGCAATCACTGTGGCTGCACCATCTGTGGCCATGTGGTTGAGGGAGAGGACCTTTTCACATGAGGACGGCGACGGGAGCTACTGCTGCCATGCGGATCTGCTCAACGTTTGATTGGCGTGCAGGAGTCCTGATGACGGCCAAGTGCCAAGTCCCGCACCGTCTTTCATCTAGAAAAGAATGACACCAATCCTCGTTTCCTGTTGTTTGTTCTAAGCGATGGAAGTTGCGTATGGCGCCAACTATATCGTGCCAAGATCTGTCTGCAAAGATGCATTTCTACGGTGTATTTGTACCTGTAACCACATTTACAGTATGCATAGCAGACGTCGGCCCAGACTGCCCCTCAATATGCTGGAAATCAGCAGAAAAAAACCGAACAAGGTGCTCGCGGGGGTCTCACAGACCTCTGACTGTTCAAAACCACCTGGTTCGAAACATTTCTTGTTCGAGAATCGTACCGGACGTTGCTAGGTCTAGGTGGGAAAGGAGGGTCTGAGAGATCCGACCCACCCCAAAGAACGCGGGGCATGAGCATCGAGGTCTGGCCTTTCACCTAGCTTCATAGTCCTCCATCTTGGCATTTGGGTTCAAAAGAACTATTTACTTAAGTAGGATCGATCCAAAAGACTCGATGACGTGACTTGCTATTGAATCGAAAGCTCCTCTTTGATACACGCGACATGCGAAAACAGATGACATGACATGAAATGAGCATTCAATCATCGGAAATACTGGTCTTAAAAAGCAGCGTCGTAATACTAGGTTACGTATTTTCCTCTGCCTTCCCTCAAAATCTGTAGTACTGTGCAGGTATGTAGGTAGTCAGCGGAGCTCGCGCACGCAGCGCAGCCATTTGCCGCCTTTTGACAGCCAACCAATGATCCCCTGTCTCTTTTTTTTTTTTTTTTCCAGGGCAAAAGCTACGACTCAACCCTATGCACGAACAAGTCGTCGCAAGCTCCCGCAGAGGTGATCGACGCACTAGGATCGACTTTGAGAAGCTCCCCCGAAGCGGCACCCCTAGCTGGTCAGGGGGTTCTGGACGTTCTGGGAAGAATTTCTCATGCTTGAAAATGATGCTGCTGCTTTGGCAAATCGAATAGACAAGTTGGAGTCATCGTTCCTGAATTGGTCAGACCTTTTCTTCTTTTTACACTACAAGCAAACAAGGCCAGCATTTACCGGCCCCTGCATTCGCCTATTGCCTGTGCCTCTGCGCTGTCCAGTCGTGCGTGCTGCAAAAGTGGGAAAATCCACATGGCCTGGATCTTCTTGCCTTGGAAAAAATCTGGGGAACGGCCCAGCCATTGAGATCATCATTCGGGCGAGCTTTTGTCGATCTACCTGCTACCTACGTACACCACAGCCCGAATTGAGCCTCTTGTTGCTTCTACGTCAAACCAACTCCTCCGCCCAGTTCAACCTTCCCGTCCATATTTTCCTTCCCTCTTCTACATTCTCCCAACACTATTCCACACTTTGCATTCTCGCTACGGCCAATCTCATTCCCCTTGGCTGGGGGTCTATCAATCGCTCTATAATCGGCGAGTAAGTCGACACAGCCAGGGTACCGACAACGAATCACGACTGCAGCTTGCTTTGTGGGCTCACCACCCAATTCCTGCAGCGTCGAAAGAAGGAGCCCAGAAAATTTAAAGGTACCGGACCAAAAAAAAAAAACCAGGGGTCAAAACGTCTAGGTTTTCAGACGCTGGTCTCATATGAGTACAACGGCCTGAACAATCTAACCTTTTTGGTTTTTGGTTTTTTTTTTGGTGGAATTCGACGCATTCCTTCCGAAAGCTACAGTTGCATACAGTCCGATCGTGCTGGCGTAGCACGTTGCTTAACAACGCCTTCAGCGACGCACGACATCGCAACGACCCACGGGCCGCCCCAGTAGCCCGGGAGACCTTCAACAACGTCACCACACTGGACACCACTATCCCTTCGCCATGGGCTTGCTGGACTTCCCACCGGCCAAGGGGTCGCCGACCTTGTTGGGCATGCCCATGAAGCAGGTCTCGCTCATTACTGTAAGTCAAATGCATCTCCATTATGGTCATGGCAAACGCCCCATGCGCCATCGTAAGGCACCCGCTAATAGTGATTGGTTTACAAGTTGACCTTCGAGAACTCGGCCTTGATATTGCTGATGCACTACTCGCGAATGATGAAACCCAATGGCGACCACCGATACTTTACCTCGACCGCCGTTTTCCTGACCGAAGTCATCAAGCTTGCCATTTCGCTCACATTCGCCATCTACGAAGTCTCGAGGAGTTTGGCACCTTCAACACCCGCCACAGTCCTCTTCACGCATATTTACAAGGCCGTGTTTTCGGGCGATGGATGGAAGCTGGCAATACCAGCCGCGCTCTACACCCTGCAGAATACGCTGCAATATGTGGCAATTGGCAATCTGGACCCGATCCATTTCCAGATTCTGTACCAGCTCAAGATATTGACGACGGCACTTTTTACAGTTACCATGCTTGGTCGATCTCTGTCGCCGAAGCGCTGGTTTGCCCTCCTCTTATTGACATTTGGTGTCTCCATTGTCTCCATTCCGTCGACGGGATCCAAGGATGGCTCGTTCCTGATCCATGATATGAGCGACCACTTCTTCCCTCGATCTGCACACGAGCTTGGTCAGATGGCGAATGGAGTAAGCGAGGCCGCCAGGGAGTTGACCAAGCGCACAATTGATGGCCTCTCGGACGCGGGAGATGCCTTGATGAAGCGCTCTGCCACCTACGCAGGAATCGAGGAGGACCAGAGTATGACCCCAATCATGAACTACTCCGTTGGCCTCTCCGCCGTCTTGGTCGCAGCAGCAGTCTCGGGCTTGACTGGCGTGTACTTTGAAAAGGTGCTCAAGGATCCTGCGGCAGTCGCCTCTGTTTGGATCCGTAACATACAGCTGTCATTCTATTCTCTCTTCCCAGCGCTGTTTATTGGCATCATCTTCAAGGATGGCCAAGAGATCGCGACGCATGGATTCTTCGATGGATACAACTGGGTTGTGTGGACTTTGATCTTGCTCCAGGCATTTGGTGGTGTGCTTGCATCCTTATGCATCAACTATGCGGACAACATTGCCAAGAACTTTGCGACCAGCATCAGCATCGTAGTCAGCCTGCTCTTTAGTGTTGCATTTTTCAATGTTCAGGTCTCCATCATGGTAAGCTTTGAAATCTCTCATCTCTATTGGTGACCATGATCTAACTATCTTATAGTTCCTGATCGGCACAGTACTGGTTCTGACCTCGACCTACTTGTACACGGGTCCAGATCGGAAGCGTGGCCGACCACCGCCAATCAACATTGCCACCTACGAGAAGACTACCATTGATCCAATGAACACACCAAGACCATCGGGCGACAGGCTGACGGTCCCTAATCCCATGGAATCGGCAAAGTCATTGGGGCTGTCTACGTCACGGCCCTCATCACCACTGCGGCACCATGTGCGACAGCCGTCGCCGCGAGACAAGAATTGGGATGAGTAGACCTCTGTATAGTGGTCTATGACAATGGTATGTGACGGTGCCATCCTGAAAAAAAAAGAAAAGGAAATAAGTATATGGCGTACACTGGGCAGGAAGGCTAGGAAAAGTTGAATGTGAGCCACGGGGTTGTGGCGGAGGATCCTTTGGGACTACGGTGACCACGAGCACATGAGCAATTTCTCCCTCCACAACACACAACAGATAGAGCGACCAGTAACTGGATTTATCCCAGATTGACAGTCGAAAGCTTTAGATCTTTACTGCGTCTCTTCGGTATTGTATTGATCGAACACGCGTGTAGGAAGGGCATGGCAGGTCCGAGAAACAAAAATGGAAAATTCTGGGAACGGGAACATGGACATTTTATCTTATATTTTGATACCGAGAGCAATTTCTAGATGGGTTAGGGTGCATGCTTACACCTTTTTGAGATATCAATGGTTTTTGAATCATGCGACAAAAAAAAATATTGAATCATCACAATATGCACTTGGATTTTCTTGAAATCACCCAGTGAATCTATAAATTGCATTTGCACAAAGACGGTCTTGCAGTGCTGCCTCGTTATTCATCGTCCGGGCCCTGGTTTGAAGAATTGGCGCGATCACAGATTATGTACCTAGGTATGTACGAGTCAGGGGCTTGTGATATCAACTCGGGGCAGGAACGACGACAACAAGACCAGACCATCGCGAGAGTGTTCCTTCCCTCTCAGAATTTGCGCAGGCAACAGCCCACCGTTTCAACAACTGGAAATATCTTCTGGCCGCTGCCAACTCGAGAAAGAAAACTTCTAGATGTATTATCGTTCTATGCCAGCAACAGCAGCATCATCGTTGCAAATCGAGCATTTACGTCTCGTTTCAGACCTGGTTCCTCTTTCACCATGTCCTCCACTTCCATGTAAGGCTTCTGTTCGTCTTGCGCTCAAGCACACATGTCCGCAAATCCTTGAAAGGTGACGCCATGTCCGGTCATACAAGCGGCAGTGGTAGCAGCCACAACTATGACTGCTACATTCAAGATATCATCAAATATGCCAGTGACTTCGCGCCTGGCCCAAACATCTCGCAATCTTCATCTTATGCATCCGGTGCCAACGAAACAACCACCAACGATGTACCACTCGGGGACCCGTTTACACATGTGCCAGAGGGGGATGATCATCTTGATGATTTTGGTGAGAATTTTATTGGATGTATCGTGCTGATGATGCTAATACCAAGACCAGACCGTCAGCTTCTTGGGGCATCTTCCTCTTACGATAGTAACCAAGCAGCACATAAACTACCTCTTGCATCTTCTTCTATTCAGCAACCCATTGTTCTGAACGATGCGAGCCACCACTTCAGGCAGTACGCCACTCGAGGTGACCGAGCACAACTTTCTCAATTCACCGCTGGTCACGCCAACCTAAACCAGCTGGATCATATTCCTGTAGCTCTGTCAACACTTGAAAGTGATGGGTCTATAAGAATGTCGGGGTTATCAGGACGATCGCAATTCGTGGCGCCTCCGCTCTACAGTGGTCAGTTACCAATCCCGGATATGATGGATCTGAAAATTCTGACAGTCCAAGCCAAACCGCATCAAATATCCCCCAAGCATTTGTCGTCGGACACTTCATCCCCATCATTGGGAATTTCGAGCCCCTCTGTTAGACCCAGCATCAAAAGAACGGCGTTGGAAACTGTCAACAGACCTTCAACGTCTCAGGTTCCCGCATCTATCACTGGGGGTACCTCGATGGACCTGCAGCATGCTTCTGAAAACCTGACATCAAGCCGCTACGATCAACGGACCGTTCTCTTAGCCAAGTACCGAGACGTCTTCCCATACGCCTTCAATTACGTGCAGTCCAAATGTTTCCCATACGTGTATGGGTCTGACGACAATGTTGTGGTTTCCGCCCCCACTAGTAGTGGAAAGACTGCAATATTGGAGATGGCTATATGCAATCTCCTCAATAGGCCGAATGGAGAGACTTTCAAAATCGTGTATCAAGCACCAACCAAGTCTCTTTGTTCAGAACGGGCCAGGGACTGGCGCAAGAAGTTCAGTCACCTCAACCTTCAATGCGTTGAACTCACGGGGGATACTTCCCCCAGTGAAGTGCGGAAAGTCGGCGGTGCTTCGATCATTGTCACTACCCCTGAGAAATGGGATTCAATCACAAGAAAGTGGTCGGATCATCATCGACTCCTCGACATGGTGCGACTAGTTCTCATCGATGAAGTTCACATTGTGAAAGACATCCGCGGTGCGACTCTTGAAGCTGTCGTTTCACGGATGAAGACGAGCGGTGCTAATGTGCGCTTTATCGCCTTGAGCGCCACTATACCAAACCTGAATGACATCGCAGTATGGCTTGGGCGTAACCACAGGCGCCAAGAACAGCCTGCCCGTCAGTTTGGCTTTGGTGAAGAGTTACGCCCGGTAAAACTTCAAAAGTACGTCCACGGATATAAGAGTTCTGGAAACGACTTCGCCTTCGATAAGGTTCTCGACGGCAAACTTATTTCGCTTCTCAGTCAATATGGAGAGCGAAAGCCCATTCTTGTGTTCTGCTTTACCCGAAAATCATGTGAGCAGACAGCCATTGAACTTACACGATGGTGGGCATCCCTCAAAGACATCGACAAGCCTTGGCCAGGGCCCAAGAATCGTGTTGCAGTCAGCAACAAAGATCTTGAACAGATTGTGACTCATGGCGTTGCATTTCATCATGGTGGACTTGACGCTGTAGACAGGAAATCTGTGGAGAGCAGTTACCTTAACGGCGACCTCCATGTGATTTGTTGCACGTCAACTCTCGCAGTTGGTGTCAATCTACCCTGTCATACGGTTGTACTCAAAGGGACAGTAGGTTATGTCGATGGCATCCGGCAAGAATATTCAGATCTAGAGGTGATGCAAATGCTCGGCCGCGCAGGCAGACCGCAATTCGATCCACATGGGACAGCAATTATCATAACTAGATTAGGAAACGTCCCAAGGTACGAGAAGATGATTTCGGGGCAAGAAGCTCTAGAAAGCAAACTGCATCTCAATCTCATAGAGCATCTCAACTCCGAGATCGGCCTGGGTACTATCAAGAACGTCCACACTGCCAAGAAGTGGCTGGCCGGCACATTTCTTTTTGTGCGTATGAAACAAGCACCGAAACACTATCTATCGGGGATGCCAGAGCTCGATATACGCTCCCCATCGGACTCTGAAGACTTGATACAAGCTTGGTGTGAGCGCGACATCGAGCAACTTCAGGTGCACCGCCTGATTACATCCGCGGAGCCATTGAGCTGCACACAGTACGGGGCTGCCATGTCCAGATTCATGGTATCTTTTGAAACCATGAAGCAGCTTTTAGAAATTCCAATGGCTGTAGATGCGAAACATCTTGTGAGTATAGCTTGCTTACCTACCCGGGCGCTCTTGGAGAGTCGTGATAGCTAACGATCCGTAACAGCTCATTTGTCTTTCAAAGACCACCACGTTCGAAGATCTGCGCTTGAAATCTCAAGACAAGGGCATTCTTCCCAAGCTCAACTCCGCAGTCATGTACCCGGTTAGTGGATCACCTAGGGAGACTTGGCACAAGGTGTATCTTTTTGTGCAATTCAGTCTGGCTGCTTTTGACATGCCCGCGGATGAGTCTGGAGCAATCAAAAAGCAGATTCTGACTGAAAAGAACGTCATATTTGAGCGAATCAACCGTCTGGTACGATGTGTGATTGATTGCAAAGTTCACGATGGTGACGGATTAAGCGTCAAGGCCGGCCTCGAGCTGACACGAGCCCTCGCAGCGAATTGTTGGGATACTCAGTCGACACAACTGCTACAAATTCCCGGCTTGGGACCAGTAACCATGAGAAGGCTAACATCTCATGGCATCAAGACGGTTTCGGATCTAGCAACACGCAGCTTTGTCGATATTGAACGATTCGTGGGCCGCAATCCTCCCTATGGCAAGAAGCTACTGCAGACTCTTGAAGCTTTCCCACGGCTCAGGATGACCAGCAGTGTTCTCACACAGAATCACGGAAAATTTTCAGAATCTGAAGATGCACTGATGATCACGGTCAAGGTCAACCTTGGCTATGAAAACCAGAATGTGCCACGTTGGAACGGCCGCGCCCCCATCTTCAACTTCATGGCACACGCAGCAGACGGAAGACTTACTTATTTTACACGTGCTAATCTCAATCATGTCGCGAAATCGGGCAATATCGAGTTGAGATTTCCAGTTGCCGTACGTAGCGTCGATGAGACCATCACCTGCTGCTTCAGTTGTGAAGAGATTGTGGGTACCATGGTCACCGAGGTGATTTCACCCAATCTGTCGCCACTGGCTTTCCAAGTCCTTTCGCGGAGACGCTCCTCGCCAACCTCCAATAACGAACCACTGGAGGAAATCGTCGATGGCATGGATGAAGAAGGCATCGCAGATGCAGACATGCTTGATGCCTTTGCTGCTTCTGAGGCCGATGTGAACAAAGGACCAGGGAAACAACCGCGGCTTGCGAAACAAGATGATGTAAAAAACATGGAATTTCAAGATATCGATGATCTCTTGGAAGATATTCCGGTCTCCGAAAAGCTCGATGGCACCGCGGCATCTCCAATCCTTATGAGCAATGGAAAGTGGAGGTGCCAACACCGCTGTGCCGGTGGTGCTCTCACCAAGAATGGCAAACCATGTACACACAAGTGCTGCCACGAAGGAGCCGTCCACAGGCCAAAGTTGCTGATAGAACACAAGAAATCCACCAAGGTCAAGGAGGACCAAGCAAAGAGTACAAGCAATACAGAACGTAATGCTTCTATGGCCCTGAACAAGACAATACAACACAAGAAATCCACCAAGGTCAAGGAGGACCAAGCAAAGAGTACAAGCAATACAGAACGTGATGCTTCTAAGGCCCTGAACAAGACCGCTAAATTTCGCCATTCCAAATATACAGCCATGTTGGATGTCGGCCCCGAAAGATCCAGTCTCGGCCCCAGTAACTCCAAACGAAGCTATTTTTTCATAAATCCCAACATGAAAAGGCCGCGGGAGGAGCCATCCACAATTGCAAACGAATCAAGGCTTGGTATCCATTCCAAGAAGCCTCGAGATGGTGCTGAAGATGACAATATTGAATCTCTTGACTTGCGCGGATCCAGTAACGATGAGCTAGAAGCCCAGTCAGCGAGACAGTCACATCAGGCATCTCCTAATCAAGCAAATAAAAGGCTCAGCGTTATTCACAATCCAATCCAGCCTCTGACTATTGTGCCCCCTCGGCTCATCAAAACTGGGAAAGCTTTGGCGACTCCCAAGGACGTACAAGTGATGACAAGAGAATCTTCCGATAAAAGCGACGTGTTCGGAGATGAGAGTGAGAAGTTTTCGCCTCCAGAGATCTTACAATCTGTTGAAGATGATCCGCAAGAGTTCAGTTCAATGCGAAAGGGGTTATTCCAAGACGAGACCCTAGCTCCTGATATTCGTGAATTGCTGGAGGATAGAGGCCGTGATTTGAGCTTCGCTGCTAATGAGCTCCAGAAGACATCCAGGTCCGTCAAACCGAAGGCTCTTGAGGATGTCATTTTGAAGCCAGGAAAAGAAGCGGCCAAACACTCGCAGAATGTCGATCAGAACATGCGGGACAAGCCTGGAGAGACATTTTCTAATACCAATGTGCCATATGATATGATGAACATCGACGACTTCACGGACAAGTTGCCGTCTCTCGAAGATGGGATGCGTGAAGATGATGATAAAGAACAAGAGTTGGTTGCTTCATCATCTGACAAACGGGCAACCCCGCTGCCTGGTGAACCTGCATGGGTTGGCGAATATGACCAGAACTTGATTGACGAGCTCAGAAGCTCCGTTGAGTTCATTGAGTAGCCAGGGCAGCTCGGGCGAAAAATGGCTACTACTACAAAGTATTATTCCAAGCATGGCAATATTGCTGTAGAGATTGCTGTATGGGTTGATTCAATGAGTATATAGTACCTTCCAATCAGATGGCATGATCGTTTGCATGCTGGCAGAAACAGAGCTCTGTTGATGGTCTGCCCAACTTGCCGTGGTGATTGGACAATGCTTACCTACATACCTAACCTACTATCTTCGCCACTATAGCGGTTGAGCGGTAAATGACAGGGAGCCTTATCGGGTATGCATAGCAGGGCATAGAAGAGCGCCTTGTGCTTGTCGTGCGCATGCAACGCGAATCCCTCTCAGCACACCGCCTCGACCGCCTTCTTGCTCCATGGCGACAGGACATGCGTTTTGGATCTATGAATAAAAACCCCCTCCCTTGGCTTCTCTCAGTCAGACAGTTCCAAAAGACTGGGACAGGCCAGCAACTTTCACGATATTAATAGTCGGTCAAAGTTTTTTTCTCCTCTTTGCCTGTATGCGGAGATCCAGAATGTCATCATCGCATCCACATGGCCTCGTGCACGACATTATAATACCTAGGTAGCTTTGCGCAAAGAGTATAGCGGTCGGCCCCTCTAGATAGCGCCGATTGATGAGGGTCTCTCGATTGTTCTTCGTTAGCCGTAGAAGCAGATCGCGCACCCCGACGACGACCAAGTTCAGTGGTCAGTGGCCACAATCTCGACCGTTGGTCATTTAATGTCTTGTCGTTTGATCAATGTAAGTGTGTCCAACAAGACTTGTTGGGTGCCTGAAGAGGCAGGGAAATCTCGCATACCTACCTACCTGTGGGCAGCGGCGGGAACTAAAATCTCACAGACCGCAAAGCTCAAAGTTCAGTAGTAGCTCTCTCTGGGTATGTGTGAGCGGGTTCCCACATGACAGAGGGGTGGTTGGTTGAATGGGCAGACAAATGCAACGGGCAGAGCAAGGAACGCCTTCTTTTCGGTCCTCACCTTAGTCATGCAAGCAAGTATCGACTGATCGAGGAAAAGACTCATCACTTGAATGAGGAATTACGTTTTTCTTTTCTTAGAGCGCCATGCGCAAGTACCTGAACTAATAACGGTCTGGTCACCCTTTCTTGCCGCACCACCCCGTAATCAGATGAGACCATCTTGCCGCGTTAAAAAGACGCCCGCTAATGGGAATGTAGAGAAGATCGGTTTCTCTGGACTCCTCGTGGCCCGCTGCACCCGCTGCCGAACCCAGTGAACAGTCGCGTGCTTCCCGAGGGGGGAAAAACGAGCCGTCTTTTCAGGACCAATCCCGCTTCGGTTTACGAAAGCGGTACGCCGGCCATGCCCGTTTCCGATACTTTTGTCAAGAGTACTAGAGGGCTCTGGAACATGTTCGTCTCATGTCAACGTTTGCTAAAGGACAGGTGTAAATCTCGTCAAGATGAGGAGTATACATGGTACATAACATACTACAAAGAGTGTAACATGATCATCTACTACCTAGCCACCACAGCTGGCCCCTGGTCCCGCCAATCGGCCAACCCTATCGCGGGGGATCCGCCAACGTATCTAGGTACGGACAGAGAAAGACGATCAACCCCTCCATTCAATCCATGCCACTGATTCCCCCCTCCCGACTCACAAGCTCAAGGTACGAGACTTGGAAAAACTTCCGCGTCCCCATAAAAGAATTACGGGACAAGCGACGACGACGACGACGACGAGGATGGTGACGAGAGGGTGAAACGTGATCTACTAGAGCCACTCTCCGATAATGCCGAATGATTCCAAGCCGGTCAATCCAAAAGTGACTCGCGAGACTCCATCAAGTCGTGGGAAGACCACGCGGATAACGATTAAAAAAGAGGGGACCCCCCTCTCCAGCCCAAAGTGGGAACGCCGGGAGCGCAGAACAGCCAGCCATTCGATTGCGGGGCAGAGAGAGAGGATGTGTGTGTGTCCTTGTCGATAACCCGTAGGATTAGATTGGGTTTCTCTCTTTTTGTTTATCTGATAGACTATAAACGTTGTAACTTTGACTATACTGGATCAAGCCATGCCAGAGACACAAACGGGCATGGAGGCTTTCCCACCCTTGCTCGTCTGTAAGCGCGTGAGAGAGTATTACTGTAAGTGTAAGTGTGTGTGGAGCTGCCGAGACGTGCGTGTGAGCGAGAAGGCGCGCGATCCTGCAGCAGCACCAAGGCAAGTATGCGAATAGCAGCTGCAGGACAAGAGGGACAACTGGCGGCGGTGAAGGAGGAATAGCTCAACACGAATCTGCCTTGTTGTAGTAAAACATAGAGAGCTTTTGGTTCTAGACGATGCCGAAGCCCTGTTATGAGGCAATGTAGCTGTAATGCAATGTCTCTCTCCCTAACCCCAAAAGGATGGATGCCCAACAGGGAGCTGCGGTCGAGACAATGGGAAACAGAAGAGAAACTAGCTGTTACCGCACGCTTCCGAGGAAAGCGACTGATGGACGACTCTGTTTCTGGCCCGACCCGGTGTCGGTCGGCAGAATATGGAGGGGGCGGACCTAATGTGACCATTTCAGGTACCCAAGGTGTGTCGTTCGTGTAAGTGACCGACCATCCCTCGGTTTAGTATAAACATGATGCACAACCACTCTCTTGTCACTCTCTTTCTTCCCTCTTCAGTTTTGAATACACGCTCAATCACTACACACAAAGCTTGAAACAATCTTCCAATTCACTCTGCTTCCTTCCAAGACCCAAGTCTTTCATCATCAGTTGCTCTACCCAGCTATCATCTAGACCAAACACACAACCAAGATGGCTGCCGCTTCTGTCATGATCCCCATCTCCGCCATCAACGGCACCCTGCCTCCCAGCGCTCTGGTCCAGCACTCTCCCCGCCACGGCCGCAGCCGGGCCGCCAGCATCAAGGGCAAGAACCGCTACAATGTCCTGGAGAACCGGGACGGCGCCATTATCAAGGCCGTGGCCTTTGTCATGAAGCGTGCCATTCGCCAGAGCGAGCTCGACGCCGAGAGCGGGGATGATGATGAAGAGACCGACGAGGACGAGGAGACGGACCGTCTCGTCTCCTCGGACGACGGTTGGGTCATGCTCCCGGATCTGGTACGTACAAAAACAAAAGCTTTGATACCTTGATAGAAAAAGGCCCTTCTGTTTTCAGTATATTCTGACTCTTTGGCACCTATAAACAGCTCCAGCACTCGCGCATCACTGACCTCCGCGTCACTGTTTCCGACATTCAACGCATCGGCGCCAACGCCACCAAGGCCCGCTTCGAGCTCCGGCAGCAGAAGCAGCAAGCCGGCGAAGACGCCGCATCCTCTTTCCAGATCCGCGACACCCACAAGCGGCGGGACAGCGTGCAGGCGCCGCCCATTATCGTCGAGGGCGAGCCCCTCTCGGCCGACGCCGAGGATCTCCCCGAGTACGTCGTCTACGAGACCTCGTACGAGGCTTACCCGCACATTGTAGCCTCCGACGGCATCCAGCGGGCCGCTGGCGCCTCGTACATATCCTTTTCCCCAATTGTTGCTGGCGCCGCCGCCAGCGACGCCGACGTCGGCATCTGGGTCCACTTGCGCACGGCGCTCGAGGCCGAGCCGGCCCTTGTCTGGCAGCGGACCGCCTCGGGTGCCGTAGTCACGGCCAACGAGGTAGTGCCCAAGTCCCTCTGGAAGCGGGCTGTGGCGCGCCGCCAGGACATTGGCCTCCTCTTTGAGGACGGCGAGGTCCGCAAGGAGGTGCCCGAGGCCCTTCGTGGCAAGGGATCCAAGGGCAAGGCCAAGAAGGGCAAGGGCTCCTTCAAGAGCCGAGGAGGTGAGGAGGCCTCGGACAGCGCCAGCGACGAGTAAAACAATACTCTCGCCGCCGCTGTGTCCCCAATTTTTGAGAGGGGGGTGGTCTCCTAGAGACAATTAACAAACTAAACACCATGATAACCGATACCCCCAAATTTTTTTCACTTCATTTACTCTCTCAAAAACACCATTATTAGCTTTAGATACATAGATTGAGTAAATGTACATTAATCCCGCCTCCTCAACATGGGCGGGATCTTTCTGGCCCCCCTCAAATAATTGTCTCCTTGCCCCGTGCAATTCTCAAGTATCATAAAAGTGAGCATTTGGGCCAGACTATCTGTACTGATATGCGCTTTGTCTCGAATGCAGATTTCCTCGCGACGAGCTCGGCTCGGTATGGAGCTGCGATATCCATCATGCATGTGGAGGATGAGCAGATATTCATGGATAAAATCAAGCTGGGGATTCCAGCGACGATATCCTAATAAAGTAAGTTTTTCAAGTCCATCAATTGTCCTCCAGAAGCATTCAAATAAGTTCTTCAGATGTTTCCCTTGAGGCACGTCGGCGCAGTTTTGGTACGACATCGGCGAATGCTTCCCGCAGCTCTGGGGAGGACCTCCACTCATTCAGCTCCTCCGTCATGCGGCGTATCTCTTCTTCCTCAGTTTTTTGCTTTGCGTACTCGATCTGCTTTTGATCGTTGGCCCATTTGCCGTAGGCCTCATCTTGGTGTTCCAAATCGCCGTCCTGGATCAGGCCGTGCACCGGTTCTGCTGGTCGCAAGAAGCCCCGCGCATCGGCTTCGATGATGGAGCGAATCATGATCTGGCCCATTCTGATATAGGCTGCGGATGTAGGGTGCATACCGTCCCAGGCGAGATCCGTGTCTTGAATGCCATCGGGGCCAGTCATGTCGGCAAGAACAACGGGTTTGCCCTCGCTCTTGAAGATCTTGTACAAGCGTTGCATTTGCTGATTGACAATGGCCACGTCCGCCGAGCCGTTGAACCGCTCCGTTTCAGTGGTGGGCAGCAGCGTTCCCATGACTACTGTCGCTCGCGGCGAGGCAGTGAGAAGGTAATCTACAAGAGAATAGTAGCGCTTGTAGAAGTTGGGAATGTCCCAATGCTGGAAGCAGTCGTTGGAGCCCACATTCACCAAGTAAAGATTGGGCTTGGTCCGGGGAACAACATCGAGAGCATGACGATGCATCTGACCTGTGCGGGCGCCGGGGTATGCCTCAATATCATTGTCCAACATACTTCCAATGCGCTGCGTGCCCACAAAGTTGACGGGATTTCCTATGGCAGTGAGATGCTCTCGGATCGGCCGGCGGAAGCCATTGTTGTCGAAGCTCTCATCTCCTCGGGTCGTCGAGGCGCCAATAGCCATGATGCGCAGTGGTATACCGTTGGCCAGCGGCGATTCATATCCCGGGCGTTTGTACCCTTGTCCGATGGGGATCAAGGTGGCGCTACTCTGGGGCGCCGTGGCGTTGTGAAGGGTGCCATTGGTGCCGTGTATTTTGCTGAAGGTGCCGCTCGAATTCGACCATGCAGTGACGTCCTCCTTTTCTGTCAAAGAGACGGCTACAAGAAATCAGCTGTTAGCAGAGCACACCCAAGGCAGATGCATATACTCTTTTGTATAAAGAAAAAAAAAAAAGCTCGAAGCCAGCTTACCTGTAAGTATTAAGAAAACTATGAATGTGCCAAACAAAAACTTCTTTCGCGCTACAAGAGCGGAAACGTAAGGCATCGAGGACAAGCGGTCGCCGATCTTCTCCATGATGTCTATCGGGGGGTATATTGGAGAAAGACACGGGTATTATGCAAGGAAATAGCACGCACGCCAGCAAGAATCGAGAGGAAAGAGAAATTGTATGCAAAAAAGGACAAATATGGACAAGAGAGAAAACAAAAAGAGAAAAGACGACCAAGCTACCAAAGATTTGGTAAGATGGGAGGAGGATAGAGCAGAAACAACCGTTCCACCACACTAGATGACGCGCTTACGATGGAGACAGCGAGACAGAAAAGCAAGGAGGATATCTAACCTTCTTGCGTGGCCGGAATTGATGCCTCAGCTGTCATGTAGGTACAAGACAGAAACGTGTGTATGTAGTTTTAGGAAGGAGAATTGAAGCGGCCGATCGGTTCCCTTTTTACCTTTACACTCTTTTTTTCCTGTCTCCTGCAAGCCGACTAGGCCCGGGCTGGCGACTCGATTAGAAGACGCTCAATGGTGCGCATGTTTCCGAACCTCCGTCTCCGAGCAGTAAGCGGTCCCTTTCCATCGGGTCGGTCAGTCAGTCAATCAGTCAGTCAGGGGTTAGGTCTTGCTAATAATTCATGGCCAAATGGCGCGGGTGGAGGATCACGGAGATGGATTGCTTCGTGGAATCTCTTTGGATGTGCCAGGTGGAATGGTTGATTGTCTTCCAAGAAATTTGACCCCAAACCAACGTGCTAAGAACTGCCAAGGCGGCACAATCGGCATTTGGGAGGTACACATAGGGGCTGGTTTGGTCATTGGTTGGCGCATCTGGGGGCAATGGGGGGCAACTGGCTGCTGGGAACTGAGTCGATCGCTGTTCAATTCCGCGTTTAGCAGAAGAAAATAATGATGGGCAAAGACCAAGCCTCGTGATTCCGATTCCCAAGGGTACGAAGATGGTTGTGTGTCTCTGCGCATATGTATTGTGAGATGGAGTGTTTGGCCGTGGTATCCAGTCTTCTGGAACAGCAGGGGAAAAAAGGTAGTTGCCGTTTACAGGTACAGGAGCTTGCAGTAGAGTACTAAAACGATGTCATTGGAAGACTTTCCCCTCCCCCTCAATGCCCTGCGGCTCCCCAGAAAAGAAGAGTCATAGAAGTTTGCACTGACGAGACCAATGTATCTACAGCCAAGTTACCACGTAGCGCCCTCTCCCCCAGCTCGTCCATGTGGGTGTCTCGCCGTCCTCGGCTGGAACGAAGAAGTACGGCCCCAGAAGCAGATCGGGCAGCCTGGTCCGCTTCCAACCCTGCTCAGACAAAGAAAGATCAGATGGGTTGAACAAAAAGTCAATTAGGAGGAGCTGCTGTTCTATTGTCTGGCTGGCGGTATCCTAGTGGGCTGTAGCCCTGCGGCTCCGACGCGCGGTTTCAGTGGTAAGGTTGCGGGGGAGAACCTCCTGAAGAGACCTTGGAGCCCCCTAAGCATACCTTACCTACTAGTTCGAGGTAGGCAAGAGGCCAGGGCCCCGCCCGATACTTTAACTCCCCAGATTAAACGAGTCTCTTGAAGTCTCGCCTCCTACTCTATTTTCCAACCCCTTTCGCCAATTCTAGAAGATTTATTAATATTCACATGTGGACCTACGCAAAAGCCTCCCCCCCCAAACCATTACACATGATCCTCGTGCCATCACAAATTAACAAAAAAGATCAGTCCTATGTCAGCTTGTACCAGCTGAATGTCTTATGCGCAATATATTACGCTGTCGTCACAGAGGTAGCCAAGGGCTTCCTTCCGATCGCGTGGTGGCCCAATCATATCTGCCTCGATTCGCCAACGGATCTCCGGCACAACAGAGGATGAAGACATGCATATTGAACCACTTGGCAGGGCGTATATACACGCGTCACGCAGCCAAACGAGATAAACGCACAGTAACTGCACGGAAAATGCGGAATTAATTGCAATCTGCTGCGACTGGAGAAAATTTACTTATTCATTTCTTCCGATTACTCAGGCAAAGAGTCTATATTTTACATTTCTCTCCGCGTGGCCCAGTGAGTGTGCAGGCAAGACAAACCTACGATACTGCATGTACAATCGCCTCATTGACCCCGAGGCTTAGTTGTTCCTTTCTGCATCTGCCGCGTGCCCGGCCGGGCCACTGGACGAGTAGTCGGACGTGACGAATGCTCGATCGACTTCAATCAGACCTTCGGCGCAATACTGCAAGGTCTCGGCAACGTCATGACACGTCCGCAGACTCGCCTTCTCGTCCATCAGAATGTCGTACTCTACCCATACGCCGTCTCCGCAGTGGTACGCCGTGACGTTTTTGAATCCTAGCACGACGGGCGAGAATCGGTAGGCTAGATACATGAGCTTTTGGTATGTCCGCTCCGATGCGGCTTCTCCCGAGAGTCTCGTGACATTTTCGAAACACGTGTGACCCCAGTCGTAGATGATGAACAAGGACAAAAGACCAGCACCCGCAGGCTGTTATCACGTATCAGCGGCACTCTCAAGAGGGTTGCGGCAGTGTTGGAGATAGGTACTTACGTCGAGCCACCACACGTTGGCCTTTTCTCCGATAAAGGGAAACAGAAGCGAAAGCGTGTTGAAGAATACATCGGTCTTGCAGTCCTGCCAAAGTGCCTGAACTTGGGTCGTCTTGATCGGATAACACCCCAGACCAATGATTCCCTTGAGCACAATAGTCGCAACCATGGCACCTATGGCTGTATATGGGAGCTTCTCTGGTTCTCCTTTCAAGGGCGCAAGCTTCTCAACCGACTCCTTCAATATTTGCATAAAGGAGATGACCATTATGATAGAGAAAACCAGAATGCCAATGGGCTCGAGTCGACGGCGGCCAACGGGGAATTTCTTCTTCAAGGCCCCAAGGCGCCAGCTGACGAGCTTGTTCGTTGACCAGATAATCATGGTGCACAAGAGGTCCAGAGCCGAATCCACGAGTGAAGCCACCAGAGACAACGAGCCAGTCGATGCTACAGCCACTATCTTTCCAGCAAGCAACAGGATATTGGCGATGACATTGATGTTGATAGCCCACTTGGCCTTCTTGGCCGCACTGGCACGTTTTGCCTTTTCATCGTCGGGCAGAAACTCGGCAATGTTTCCTTCCATGTTTTGCAGACCGCCGCGCCGCTCTAGATCTCCGTCGTGATCCGGGTCCGGGTCCATGGATTCCAACACATCATCGGCAACGGCCATGACCACGGCGTCGACTTCTAGCCAGTCATTGAGTCTCTCGTTCTGTTGCTCGTAGAATGATCGAACATTCTTTTTCTTGATATCCTTTAGTTCTGCCTCGCTCCGGCGGTACCTTTCCAGGCCGTAGCGATCGATATTGTGGAACAGCGCATTCTTGAGATCTTCCCGCCGTCGGTCATCCATGGCGGTCCGGGCCACATCCTGGAAACGGAAGACACGAGGCCGTGGACGGCCAGACGAGCTTGTACCATGCTGACTTGGACCCCTTTCCAGGTCGCGAGGGTGACGCTGCTTGGTTGCGTCGGAGCCGTTCTCATACGGCCTGTCTCGACCGGTGGCTTTGGACTGGCCATTGCCGACAAAAACTCGACGTTTTCCAACCATGATTTTTCTAATTTGGCCTGCAGTAACCAAAATCTATAGGGAAAATCAAGAACAAACGGTCTTGAAAATCGACTAGACTGTTTGTGGTGTATGCCGAAGTTCACAGCAACTATTATTATCGTGTGAGTTGAAAGAGTGAGTGACGTAATTTCGATGTTGCCAAGCGAGCGCGTTCCTGGGATTCTTGGCGTCCGTCTGGGGTAGATACGCAGCAGCGGATTGGATCCCGACAACTGTTTAATGCAGCCAACCCGGGAAGTACCAATAAAAGGAAACCCGTTTGGTCTATTGCAAAGAAAGTAAATAACTTGATGTTTTCTCTGAATATTTGTAGAACTGCAAAAATTGACGCTCGACCCGTGTTTGCTGAAAGGAACGAAAAGAAAACTTGGACGCGACAGCAAAAGGACCCGTTACACGTGGATTCGAAACTGCGCGTCATTGAATGCCAACGAAACCCCCCATGTTATTAGTTAGCTGACCACGGTCCCGGCAAACACGGATCACACGGCACCGGAAACCATCGCCTTAATCTCTCAGGCTCTTTCTCTCTTTTGTCATTTCGTTACCAAACCCACATACTACGTTCTCTTGAGTCTCCTGCTGCGTGATTTCATGTAGCGGGAATCAGAACACTTGATTTCAATGTTTGCTTGTATATAACAAAGTCATCCCCTGTCCCTGCTTTTCTTCTCTTCACTATCATTGGAGAAGATGCTTGAAGCAAAATTCTTTAGCGGCAAGCGCTACAGGCAGGCCACTGTAGCGAAGCGCAGCAAATGACCAGCCGAAATACTCCGTAGTTTAAATCAAGTTCAACACACCAAAACGAGACTGATGCGACTCAATCGCGGGACAAAGAAGCTTTTCTGACATGGTGCCCCCCAAAAGGAACGGACACTAAAGAAAAGCTTGGCCATATTCGCGCAATGATTCAACCATCACATTTGGAATAATGCGAAAAATTGGGTCAGTTGAGAGACACTGCCAGCACAACTCGCTGTCTTGCCAGCTTTTACAACCAATTATTGCAGCTTTAGGCCTGCGCTGCTCACTGCCATTGGCTCGCCGGGACCACTATAATTCAAGATACGACCCTGGCCGGCCAACTGCGCAATTCCCACCTACAAATGGGTCGCGTCTCAAGGTGAAAAGACCCGCACAGGTCAGCACCGAGAGCACCTTTTTGTTTCCTACTTCCAGTCATTTGGCATTAAGGACAGGTACCGCTCCAAGATTCTTCCCTGTTACCTGAGCATTGGTTTCCATGATCGATGAGAGTGTCGCTTTGCGTCAGAACTCCGTTTTTCTCGAATCTGAACTCTTAGGCTGTGGAACACATCGGGAAAACATGTGAAGCTCGGAACCCGGGCAGTTTTCAAGCAGCCTGATGTGGTCCGCATGTCTCACTGCTACATAGTAGTACCGAAGCAATCGTCTCTAAAAAACCACGCCCAAGACGAACAAATAAAGAATACTCCATCAATATATACTTGTGTATATGGGCAAGCTTCTTACTCTGGATTCAGAGCTTCTCTCGTCCATCTTCATTTCTGACTCTTCGAGCTCCTCAGAGGCACAACATTGGCAACATGCCCATCTCATATCAAAACCCTGACAAGTTCATTCAGATGCGAGACAATCTCATGTCATAGCTGCCTCGCGGTAGGATTCAAAAATCGATTAATGAATATATGTAGCGATTCGCCTTGCTTCCAATGACAAGGTTCTCCATGTGCAATACTATCGAATTAGAATCGCTCCAACATGTGTCCATCTACTCTTGCCAAAATTGCTTATACTAGAATTCATGTTGAAGATGACTCCCATATGGTCCTCGGTCAATGCCTTGCCTGCATTGTTCCAATCTTCAAACATCCCCTGAAGATGATGGAGATTCACGACGTGAGGATTACAGCCGCGGCCGTTGAGAATATCGTAAAAGATACTCAACAACCGGTTCCCGAGCGCCTGCTGCGATAAAGCCAGCACATTTTTTGCGCGCGCCCCAAGAAGAAGAAAATTGATTCAAGGATGAATATACCATCTGAGTATACTGGGTATGCGTTTGTACGGATTATGACCAAAGTCCATACATGAGCGTGACATAGGCCCAGGTTTGGAGCCGAAAATGGCGAGTCTGGACAGAACTTGATCGACAAAGGGGCAGTTAGCAGGCGTTAGAGTAAGCCTAGAAGACCGCGACCCGATATGAAGGAATCAACTCCGAGGTAGACTCTTCTTGCTTGGTACCATGCAGTCCATATGTGCAGTCACTAGACTGTCACCAGACGGCTTGGACGACAAGTGAGGTGCATCATTTTCTCCCATCGTCTAATTGATCATGGCCGGAAGAGATCGACTAGCGCTACAATTCGATATTCATGTCGCTGAAATGTTCTCTAGTCGCATAATCCTTAGTTTGAAGGTACCGTCCCTGAAGATTCTCTTGCTAGAATCATCATCCTATCTAACCTTTCATTTCCATTCGCATTTGTGACACCGTAATTCAAATTTTCTCTGAAAATGTACATAGTCTCTCATGAAATATCAAAGAGAAGCTGACTAGGCAAAAATTCCTGTTGTGGAGTATAATCATGGATATAATTTTCATAAAGTATACACTGCTCAAGCGTACACGCTTTACTTGACTTGCAAGATTGTATGTGATCACGCCACCTGACAGAAATCTCATTAGCTTCCAGTTCAACGCTTACCATGTCGCATCATAGGAGCGGGAACCCTTCAGCGGAAGGAAAAGGTAAAGAAACCGCACGCCTGAACTCAAAATTCATGCAACGAACATGATCTAAACGCTCTAGGCCCCGACGAGGACGCGACTGAAAACAGGTTTGGTCCAACTAGTGATCTTCCTCTCGATGGCGAGCTTTTTTCTAGCTTCATCTACAGTCGTGTGGAGAAGTAGGGCGTCTCGACTCGGTTCGCTTCCGGCAAGTGAACCAAACTCTTGCCAACATTGGGTGTGCCCATTCCCGCCTTGCTGTCTGCCGTGTGCCCCCTCCAAGCGCAACGAAAGGGCATAACAGCCCCGTATTATAGGTCATCACGCCTCTTTCTCAAAGGTTTTCGGACTCTTCTTCCACCGCTCTCTTTGCGGTCCACGGTACTCGAAAACGGTTCACATTATTTCCTTCTTCAGATAGACAGACTGTCCAATCGGGCCGCAAATGCCGCCCGCTTTCCGGATCTTGTGTTTGAATGGGAGATTCGGTCTTGATCTGGGCTGTCCATGACATATGGACGCCATCTTACCCCGACGCCCTTCTTTTTATGGGATGAGCAGAGGAGTTTGTGGATCAAGTTCTTCTCGACGCTCTTCCGAAAGCTTCACTGGCTGGTCAGTGGAAATGAGCACATGTGTAAAACAGGTTTCCACCACTGGTGGTATCTGACCTAATTGGCTGCTCTGGAAACTCCGTGGTCATTGCATAGTTTGATTCGACTTGTTCAAACTCGAGTGATTCGATTTTATCTCAATGTCCATTTCGAGTAATAATAAAACCTCGAGGAAAAAACAAGTTTTATCCCTCATTCCATCTTGAGAAGATGGAAACAGATCAACGTTGTTTTTCGCTGGCGACTCATGTGAGGGCTGATAAAAAACATTACGACTTGGTAATGACCTTGAGTGTCTAAACCATAAGAAGATGAAAAACGCGCACAGTGCATACATATGTCTTCCTTTTGTTCTTGAAGTCATACCAGGAAATAATCACTTCCAACCCCAATCACTTTTCAAAGGCACAAAACAATGATCAAATAGGACAACAAGTCGAGCAGTTTCGAACAAAAACTACGAGAAGCGACAGTGTTTCTATTTTATGCACACTTGCAGGTCAATCCATCGAGGACTGTTAAGAAATCCTTGAAAAGACTCAGTCTCTTTGATGGAAGTGGACCTCTTGGCCACCATTCAGAACATTGAGAAGAGGCTATCTCACGGTGTTTTTCCAAGTGTAGATAAATGCCGGTATCATGGCAACTCATTCCGAACATGGCTGATGCATGTCCAACATTGGAAAGATTTCTCGAGATGAGCTGTGAACCCCATGTCCCCCAAAGCCTCCGTATGCCGTCTTTGTGTGTCAAGCATCAAGGGCAGTGGTCTTCATTCGCATGATAGAAGCCGAAAGGCAGAGCAAGTCGGGGGTCATGACAATTGCCACAGTTGATCCTGTTTTCCTCTTTTGCGATCCATTGTCGATAGAAGTGACGTAGAAATTTTTCTCAATACCAACCTTGGCGGACATTCTTGTGAGTCGTCAACTGATGCAGGCAGGACTCATTCAATGCATCAAACTTCAACGCGTTCGTATAGATGGTTCAAGTCACACCTGGAGCATTCAAGATGGTGATGCTAGTCTTGTCTAGGATGACAGCATTTGATGCGATGTGCGCATCCCGACTGGTTTCTTATATCTTGAAGAAACGCTCTTGATAGATTCGAATTGCTGTATGCTATCTACCTAGACTAACAAGCATGAGGCAGTGCCGTGACGGTCGATCGACGGACAGAGCCAAACATCATCGTGAACCAAAAAGTCGATCTCGCCGGTTCGTGTCTCCCACATGCACATTTTGCAAATCCAGCACGATCGATTTTTGCATACCCAAGATGTTACTTGCCCTGGCGCTCCTACGTGCATCGCGACCGATGTATTGCTTTCCAAGGTCAAGAGTTCTGAAGCCACGTGTACTGCAAGGGCAATCTTCATCGACCAAAACTCCCTACTCTAGTGCTTGTGACGTTGGTGACGCAACACGGCGATCCGCGAATCCCATTCGATCGCGCATCTTTGGAACGGGCACGCTTGTCGCTCCATCGCGCTGCGTTGCTATTCACCAGCTTTGCACGATTGATCAGTTAGACCCACACGCATCGTGTTATGCACACATCATCCATACATTGATCGCAGTCCACATCTACATCTGCAGTCGTATGGCGTCGAGATAGACTCACATCCCAGGTGCGTATACTT